CGCAATGTAAGTCTCGCATTTGGGTATCGAGGACACAAGTTCTGATCGGTACGTTCATGATACGCCCCTCTACCTCTGGAGAACGTCAGGTGCACAACCATAAACAGGGCATTGTCATCAGGTTATGTCTAAATTAGAATCAACTCCATTTTTCCCAGTATCTAATTACCTTCATTTAAGAGTCAAGGAAAACAGATCACTCGAACTCATTTTGATGAAGATTTTAATTACTCAAAGATTTTCTCTGAAAATTTAATCTTACAACACATTTAATAGTCGAATAACTTTACATTCATTAAACATTTATTACTTTTTTCCTGATTTAGTTATTTTTATCATAAAATACACTCAAATTTCTAACGATTTAAATGAATAATTAAACACTTCTTCAAAAAATTTATTTAAATTCATTTGGAGAATTTTTTTTATCAAGTCAACACTTCACACCAAAAAAATTCAAGTGTTTAATAATAAAACATTTCAAGTGTGTATCGATAAAACATTTCAATGTTTAAAATGTTGAACAAACTATAGCATTTTGGTAAACGGCAAGAAGTGTTTAAAATTCATGGACAAAATTACTATAGTTTGTTTATAGCGTTAAACATTGTAAACACTTTAAATGTTTAATTTTTAAACACTTGAATTTGTAGTAAATGAATAGTGTATTTATTTAAAAGTTAAATCATAACAGGAAATTTTTACTGTTAAGGAAATGAAATTATTTGAATTTATTTCCAGAAAATGCAACGAGTAATTTAAAACTCATTCTTGATGTTGAAATTTGTTTATCAAAAACACTCATTTCTTCCGTAAAAAAAAAAAAATAAAATGTCATTCATTAAGGAAGAAAAAATGACAGGAAACATAAACATTGAAGAAATATTTATCCATAATCCGAATTATCACTAGATTGATGACGATAATGTAAAGGACGAGAAAAGTCTTGTTTAAAATTGATAAAGTCACGATTATTCTACATTGTGTTGAAAGTCCTTTGTTATTTTTTATGTAAGATAACTTGAATAAAACGAGGATGCTTTGAAGAGTCCATTAGAACTAATGAGGTCATGCTAGAGTTCTTTGACGTTAAACTCGACCTTACTTGTTAGGATTTACGTTTCGCTTTCGACCAAGCGAAAGCTTTCGCGTTCATTGCACTTGGATTGGATTTGCGACAGGCTATGCGCCATATATCCGATGCAACCGTGAAACATGATATTTCAAGTCATTTACGTGATCTCGCAATGTTGCGTTGTATCAATATACACAACTTACGACACCTTCGATCATCTTTGGTCAAGACATTGTAAGTATGTAATCGAATATTCATTTTCAGACTGATTTTTTCAGTTCTCTACACTTGTAACTGCTATTTATCTTTCAAGAAAATAGAAATATTTTTATTAATTTTTTTTCCTGAATATTCATGACAGAATATTCATTTTATATTATATATAAACAAATTGCAAGTGTAGAAATATCTCGAGTTTAAAAAAAAAAAAAGAGAAAGACTGGTTTTACTTGACTACATTATTTACAACTATCTATCGGATTAGATGTTGTATACAAGATCAGCTAGTATTCAATATTATAACTTAAATGATGAATCATAACATTGAATATCATCTTGCAGTTCAATTTTTAAATATAGTTTAAATGCTGAAAATGTTTCAATTGATTAATAGTATTATTGCGAAGTTATTCCAACACTTTCGAAGCTTAATTAGAAACTCTAATGATCATTTATGGTAGACTTCGTAATAACAAAATCTATTTCGAGTAATAAATTAACTTTGTTTTGGAACAAATAATGTTTTTAAGATGAAAAATATTTTTTTTTTTAGTTCACGATAAATTCATTATTAATATTAATACTTTTTGTCTTTTATTTAAACATTTTTTAATAGTGAGTATTAAAAATTCTTAAAAAGAACACAATTTAATAGGATTTTATAAACTTAGTTCTATCATAGGTCATAAAAAATATCTAACCCATCATTTATAAAAATTCAATTAACCTACTTTGAAAGTATACTTCTAAAGTGCATGTATAAACCATGTTTACTTTCCATTTGATTTTTTATCAATTTTTAAATTTAAACAACGAGATACTTTTATCTAAATAGAAATGTACCAAATGAATAATTTGAAAAATTTTATTTTGAATTTTCAAATAAATCATTTCATGGACGAAAATAAATTTCAGGGACTCATTAACACTTTGATCTGGATGATTTAATGTAGAAGTCAATATCTAGACATCTTTACAAATGCATTGAGAATTAAAAACTACTGAAATCAATGGAATATATTATTTAATTATTTAATTAACTCAGAAATTAATTTATCAATTCAATTCATTATTTAATAACTTAATGATGAATAATTTTGTCCAAATTACAAGTAAAAAAATTATTTATTTAGCTATTTATAATTTAACTTTATAGATTTTATTTTTTATTTTAAAATAAGTAAAAATTTTCCAACTTCCTCTTCGTATGGTAATAAAAATTATTTGACCTGAAGGTCGATTTGTCAGGATGAAGTCATTTAAAGAAAAAATACTGCATTTTTAATGGCAATTCCCAGCAGGTAATTTAACTAAAAAATAAAGTATTTTGATAATCAAACTAATGATTCTTTTGATTTATAAACAAGTAAGAGACAGTTAATCTATTAGTTTCTCAATATGAAACATGATTTATTTATATCTCGTTGTTTTTACAAACCTGAAGAAACAGAACAAAGAAATCGAGCCAGGATGAGCAGAATATTAATCTCGTTCAACAAATAAATATTTCATAAATATCAATGGCTTAGAGCTGTCATTGGGAAACATTGTCTATGCACAACGAAATCACGTATATGAATAATCATTTGTTTTATTAAAATAAATTGATAGAAAATATAAGACTCTTTAGCAGAATTTTGAAACATGAAAAAGGTTCGTATCTCATTCAGACATTTCCCATACATTTTGATGGGTTTTTAAAAATATCTAGAAAAGCGGAAAATTAATAGAAAACAATAATTAGTCAATAAATTCTGTACAAGGCGTGAAAAAAAAATATATTCACATCGCATTCCTGCGACGCAACTGAACGAAGCGTTTTTAAATAAACGAGTACAGAATCGCAATGCCTACTGAGTGCGTCAATCAATCGTCTCCAAGTGGTTCGTCAAGATCGAAAGTGAATAGCATTTGAATTTAATTTCATACCAAAGAGAGAAACAGGAGACTTTGATGCCAAGACAAAAGGACATGCCGCAAATATTTTAGATATTTGTTTAAGGGAGTTGGAAAATTTCGACTTTCAACACTTTTTCTCGATATATACACAAGAAAAAAAATGGATTTGATGCATGGATGTCTACGATAAATACATAAAATTAGATATCTAAGTGATTCTTTAGAGATAAATACGTGCATTAAGTGAGAGTAAGTCTGTTAATTGATGCACGGAAAATAAAGAGAGTGAGATAGAGGAAAGTGTATAAAATATTCAAGTACAAGAGAGGAAGAGTAAGGAATATTTTCATGTTGAGAATCTGCTGACAAGCAACAAATAAGACTGAAGAAGAACGAACCGTGGCCGACCACGAGAAAGTCAAGAGCACGAGACAGAAACTTGAAGGATCCGCCAGTTAGCCTACTTACTGTTTCAGACAAAATCTCATCGAAATCGCGACATCTTTTCAAATTACTAGTGAATGGATATGAAAGGATAATTTTTTATCAATATTATTTATATAAAATATAAATGTATGTATATATTTTTTTTATCTCTTAATTTAATTTTACATTCTAATTATTTTAATACTTTACTCATATTTTTAATTATCAATTTCTATGAACAAAGGATCATCGATATTTTCTTACATAACAATCAATTATGAACTTATGAGCCGTTACATCCTCACTGTAATTTATTAAAGAGACGACTTTTAGTATTTTCGATAAGTCATTTCAAAATAACATACTTTCGAACACACTTGATTGAAAAGACTTTCATTTTTATATTGAATTATTATAAGCGACATCACAGAAAGTACTTCTTTTTATGTATTTCCCATAAAATATATTTAAATTCAGGACTTGCGCAGATTTTTCGCGCGCTCTTGACGCACTTTTAGTCAAAAAAGCGACTAAATGTGTTCAAATGATGATTTATAAACATTTATTTTCAACAATGAGGTCTAAAAAATATTTTTACATTGACAACTAAAGTGTATTAAATGAAAAAAATTTTTTAAATTAATATTTATTAATAATTACAATTGTTTTAAGATGTGAAATGACTAGTGTAACAATAAACTCATGTTTAAAACGCGCATGTTCATCACAACAGCTGACTAGTATAAAGAAATGATCTCAAGTAATGTTGAATACCGAGTTTTCTCCTAAAAATGTGACTTTCACGTGCTAGAAAACGCAGTATGATTTCGCGTAGCTACTGAGTTTCAAGAATCATGCACATTAAAGTGTAAAATAAATACAATGCCAATGCCCGCGTCATTTAAATTTCTTGTATCTCTCTATGATGCCAATAGGGCACGTTAATAAAATTGCAGCACTGCTAAATCTATTATGTAATTTTAAAGACATGTTTAGAAGTAAAATAAATCCATTTATTTTGTCATTTGTTTACTTTGATTTCATTGAACCTATTGTTAATTATATAAGCCTTTTTAAACATTTCATTACCCCAAATGTTATTAATATAAACATCGATTAGTTAATATAGCATTTGAAACATCAAGTCACGAGTAGCAAAACACTAGGTTATGTCAACCAACATGAAAAAGATGATCAAAAATGGTTTAAATTTGACTGAAACTTTCACATTTTATTACTGCTTTTTTTCAATAGAATTTGATGAAACTTCAGTTAATCTGTTGGATTCCTTGTCAAGGATTAATTCAATAAAGTGTCATTAAATAAACTATTTTAAAAATGATGCATTATTATGAAAGCACATTAGAGGAATATAACTCACCCTGCATTGTTGCACTAAGCTCGTGACAGGGCGTTGGCTTTCCTGGTGCAATTTAACACCTGTCGTAGTAAATCTCCTGCGAATCTGGGCAAAGTGTCCAGATTGTTGGCACAATTTCTCGACCCGAGCACAAAGCCGACTCGACCCTATACACGCCATAGCGAAAAACGGAGTGAGACTCGTCAAGACTTTCGAGTTGCTCTTGAGTACCATTCCCGGGTTCCCCACTTTGAACCATCAAAATCAATCCCCCACCGGCTGTCCCTTCCTGTCCTTACTTTTAAACACCAGTCACTCTCTTGTCTTGCTCTTATGCCTAAGCCAAACACACGTTGCACAAGTTTGCGATAGCACTCACTGCCCTGCTAGTTTCAATCGTCCAATCCCTCCCCCAATCGGCATTTCTCATCCTCATGCTGGATACCTCCACGAGGTATCACAAGTCCTGTCAATAAACTGCCAGGATCCAACTGAGTTGATCGTCTTCACAGCACGATTTGAACACATACTGACATCTAGCATTATCATCTTAAAACACGTTGAACCAACCTAGAAAACAATTCCGGTTTTATTAATTTGAGAAATCAGCAAACGTAATTTTATTATGGCAAGAAATATTATAAATCGAATTGATTCTTTTTTTTCTAGAATTGAAAATGTTATTGAACATTTTTTTAACAATAAATTTCCACCTGGTAATTATGAATTCTTTTATTTATATTCGAAAATCATATTCTAATATCTTCAGGCAAATCTAACCTAAACAATTCCATCATTTTGGATAAAATTTTTAACTTATTAAAATAACTTAATGTTTCTATCAACTTCTAGCAGCTCTATGTACAGTTGATTTAACAAGTCATCAATGCTTGCCAAAATACCATGCATCATCTTCCAAGTCTCTTGAAGACGTTCTCAAAGATGGCATTTTATGGGCAGTTCCTAAACGACGAAGAGCAGTAGAAGACCGATGGTGTAGAAAATTTGGTATAAAAGGATTAGTTTATAAAATTTTGGAACCAAAAAAAGATCTTCTTGTTTGTCCTACTTGTGGACATAATTATGAAGCTGGTCGTATTTGCAGTAAGTTTTTTGTGCTTGTATAAAAGAACAGATTAAGTAAAAACACCTTGAGAAAAAATGAAATAATTTTTAGATCACTGTTACTTGAGAGTCAAGAGTGAGACAACAGAAATGCAAAATACAGTAATTAAAACTCTTGGTTTAGAACCAGTTGAAAAAGAAGTTGTAGTTCTTTATGAAGATGAAAAATTAACTAAAACATCAGAGTTTTGGAAAGGACAAAGAATCATTGAACTACCTAAAAAAAGACCTGCTTGGTATCATTCTAATTTGCTTCAACCTACCACACAGGAACCATCAGATAGTACTGATGTAAAACCAACAGAATTAGCTTAATCATTTAATCGATATCGTTTTCAGGTAATCAGAAACTTTTTTTCAGCCATATAAAAGATTAAATAATTTTTATAAGTTTTAAATACAACAATGTATATGCAAAATATATATTGACAAATAAATCAATGAAATAAAATTTCATAGATATCATAGAAAATATATATCTAATATTTATCTTAAATAAACCTTAAAATAATAAATAATTAATTACTTGTGACTTATAATTAAGTCAATACATACATCAAATATTACAAGTCAAAATCTGAGATCGTTTCTGTAGCAAAATGGTTCAATACATGTTCATGAAAAGTATGAAAAGCACATTGTTCAAAATTTAAACCACATATTGGACAAATTTGTTCATTATCTAAATTATTATTTGGTAAAGCATCAATAATTTTTTCTTGTGAGCTCGTTGAAAGAGAAAGACTTGTTTGAGTTGAACCATGCTCCTTTAAACTATCATCTGAATCAAATTGAGTTCCTGCTTGACAAAGCTTTTTACCTAAAATATAATTCATTCCATTAGAATATTTAATAGGATACCTATTTATTCACAGTTTTCTCCATTATATATTATTACTTACCTTTCTTATTTTTCTTCAAATTATGAAGGATTTTTTTCAACTGTTCTTGTTGAGCTGCTAAAGTATCTTTAGTCTGCGATAATCGGTCTTCATGGTTTTTCAGTTGCTGAAGAGAATCTGAATTACAATCATCTGGATAAGTGAATCCTACATTCCGTAAATTAATATCGCCACCATTTTCCAACTCCACCATCTTTATAAAAGATAAATAAATAATTAAATAAATAATAATTAAGTTAATAAGTTAATGATGATAATAAGTTTTTCTTTTTCATACAATTACCTTTGAATACTGTTGTTCTAATTCTGATTTTTCCATCATGATGCTATTAATGAGTCTCAAGGAAATCTCTTCTAAACTTACGTCCTTATTATCTAAATCTATTGAATTATTCTCAACACTTTCATTCACTATATTTGAAGGCACTTCTTTAATATTATAGACAAAAGTATCTATAGGTTGAGTATTGGTATTTTTTTTTAAAGTATCAGATATTTTGATTAGTTTACTTCCAAGACTCTTATTGGTTCGAGTCAATCTTGTTAATCGATTCCACAACTGTCTATTTTCAGCAGCAACCATTAAAACATGATGTGTTAGTTGAGACTTCTGCTTCGTAAGTTCTTCTATTCTTTCCTGTAAAAAACATTTTCTATTAAGGCATATATTGTACTAAAACCATCTGTCATGATTAAGCATAAAAATTTCAATCATTATGTACCTGAAGACTTTCTATCGTAGGTAATTCATGATTACTCTTGGGAATAAGGTCTACGCATTGTTCTTTACCCTTTTCCACTCTCAATCGAATATTCTCCTCTTCTACAGCAGCAAGTCTGTTCTCTAGCTGATGACATCTTTCCTGCATGGTTTGAAATGCAATTTTAAGTGCACGCTGTGCAGCAATATTTTCATCCTCATCCATCGTATCAGGCATATTTGTTAAATCAAGATAACACTTATTATATCATGAATCAGTTCATGTAGAAATAAATTAAAAATAAAAGTAAATATTTTTTTTACACTTCATTAGCAAACTGTCGAGGTTAGACATAGATTCAAATGACTTAGTCTTGGATTCAAAGAAAAAAATATAATCCAGTTACATCATACTCTACAATTAATTTTTCCAACTAACATTGTTTACAGAAAATATTAGTATTTTATCTCGATACAGACGCTTTTAAATTGCAATTATGAGCAATAATCACATCAACTTTTTTCAAGAACTGTCAGATTTGTAAATTTCTGCCTTTCCAACACATTTTTGTTTCTAACGGTTATTGTATTGTTTAGTTCGGTATTTCTAATGAAATAATATTAAAATTAACAAACAATTAAAATTTTATCTAAAAAAATGATAAATAATCATCTCAGTTTTAATAATTTATACAATTGTTCTTATAATTGTTCATCAACAATTGAACAATATCGATAAACCATTAGATCGATTATTATCAGTCGACCTTGGAATCGAATATGTAATAACGTCAAACTTCAGTCAGTTTACAACGGTCTAGTTGACGCATGCGCACATGATTTAATGGAAAAATGTGTGGAAAATCGCGAGTTCGCGAAGCAGCGATGAACAAACGGTCATTTGTTAAAAAGTCTACGTAGAATAGTAGTTAATTTTTATAATAAACAATTAATAAATTGGACATAATCGAGAAGTATATACTCAAGAGTGTATCAAACACATATCTTCTTATCTTTGTCTTTCTCACTCGATGTAATTATTTTCTGAACGCAGTTAGTTTACTAGTCGTCAATTAATAAATCTCTAGTTTAGTGATTGAATTTCCTTGATCACGATGACACGAATAAATCTTGCGGTAAAATATTTAAATCAAGATCATCTGACTGGCTTCGAGAATTATAAGGTAAATAAATAATTTCTGCATTCATACACTTTATTTATAATGTTAATTCATAATCACTTGGTGCTGTAAATCCGGCATTGAATTCAGCTGCACCTCAATCATAGGTCATGAGGTCATTAGCTACAAAACTTTAATGTTTAAATTTTTTTTTTTTATTATTAAAGTTTTTAGTAATGATATCATTTTTGTTTTCTCAGTTTTTTAATAAAATGATTTAAATATAGATAATGATACATTAATAATAATTCTCATGTAATTAAGCAGTGGCATTGACAATCCAATATGTATTTAATGTCAGGTATTATATTCATTATTATTATGTATCATTTTTTTAATGTCAGATCTCATTTACTCTAGTAACTATACGATTTATAAAAAAAATACGATAAGATTTAGTTTAAAAGTAGAACAGTTATTTTTACTAGAAAAATATTCAAATCTGATTATAATTATTAATTATTTTAATTATAGAATAAATAAATGTTTTTTTGTTACAGTATAGTTCGTTAGATACCAGCCCACTCAGTATCTATGTAATGCATCCATTTTGGGAGAAAGTTATTAAAGTAAGTGTCATCGATAATCATAAATAGTACAAATGAGAACATTACTAATGACAATATTTTTTAGATATGCCCAACATGGATTGCTCCAAATCTTTTAACATTCTCAGGTTTTTTATTCACCGTACTAAACTTTGTATTATTTTCATATTATGATTATTATTTCTATGCATCGAGCAAAGATCATCCTGAATATCCACCAATACCATCCTGGGTATTTGCACTGGCTGCATTCAATGTATTTATGGCATATACTCTTGACGGAATCGATGGAAAACAAGCCCGAAGAACACAAACTACAGGACCTCTAGGTGAATTATTTGATCATGGGCTTGATAGTTGGACAGCAGGGGTAATGGTCATTTGTATATACTCTGTATTTGGACGTACTGATCATAGTGTGTCGGCTGTAAGAATGTATTTTATTCTCTGGTACGTTTGTATAAACTTTTATTTAAGTCACTGGGAGAAGTACAATACAGGAATCCTATTTTTACCATGGGGATATGATGCTTCCATGTTAGGAACAATTTTAGCATTTATTTTAACCAGCATTAATGGTCCTGAATTATGGAAATTTGAACTACCTTTTGGAATAACAGGAGGAGTGTTTTTTGAATTAGTCTTGTATACTGGAGCATTAGTATCTAACATACCAGTAGTGGTATGGAATATATATAAATCATACAGAGATAAAACTGGAAAAAATCGAACAATTGCTGAAGCTCTCAGACCTTTAGTGCCTCTTATTGCATTATTTACCATTGCAACAGTCTGGGTTTTAAACTCTTCTAGTAACATTGTCGAGGCAGATCCTCGAGTTGTTTATTTTATTGTAGGAACAATATTCTCAAACATTTGTTGTCGACTCATAGTATCACAAATGAGTAATACAAGATGTGAAATTTTCCCATTGATCATATTACCTATCGCAGGAGCGGCACTGATCTCGCATATACTCCCTCAATTTGAATTAGAAGTAATGTACTTGATGGCAATGTTCGCTTTTGTGGCTCATATACATTATGGCACTTGTGTTGTACGCCAAATGTGCCATCATTTCCGTATAAGTACATTCCGCATCAGAGAACATTCAGAATGACTACTTGCCGACGATACATGTTAAAAATGGAGAACACTTTTAGACAAGGGATAGGTAGATCTGACACACGTTTATCATCGCCAATTATTGCGAAAGAAATTAAATGAAATTATAAATAATAACAAAATCATTTGTCTATTATTTTTTTCATTATCCAATGAAAGTTTAAACTCTGACTCATTATTTTTACTCATTTTTTTTTTATTATTAAAACTTTTTATTTGGTTTTGGTTCGTGTGTAGGTTTATCAATGTGTTACTTCATTTTTATCGTGTATCGTCCCTCGGACGTTACATCATTTTTTATTGGATCTATTTTATGGTCTCTCGTGCCATAGTTGATTAAATTACAAACTCAAAAATTGTAAATTTAATTTTTAAGCCTACATATATTCTATGTATATCGGTATTCTTTCATCCGTACTCAACGTATATGTTTGACTCCCTCATTTACCAAAAATGACTATTATATTAATTTTTATTGATAATTATTACCAAACATAATATATATGAAATGTAATTAATATTGTACTACTCAAGTGATTTTTTTATGCATTTGAAATTATGTTATTGATTATATTGAACAAAAACAATATTTATTTCACAATGAAGTATAAAAATTTTTTTACAATTGTTATGAATTGCTTTGAAATATGGGACACGAAGAATAGAGAAAAGTGAGATTGTAACATTGTAATTAATTTTTAATTAAAAATAATGTACAAACTAGTCCCAAAAAATAATTTTAAGTGGTGTATTGTCAAGTAACTCAAAAAAGAGTTGTGTATATGTATAAAATATGCATCACGAATTGCATGTAGTTTTGTCTAATATAAATTATAAAGTGATGTACACTTCTGACTATGAATATTAATTTTAATCAATCGTTGTAATTTATAAGTTAACAGATCTGTCAACTAAATACTATCAAAAGTACCAAAGCATTAATAAGGAACAAAACATGCTATGTCTAAGATCTTTTATTACATCTAAGTAGTATATACATGTTTCATAATTGTAAAAAAATTATCATGAAAAGTGAAATTATACACTGACTAATAAAAGATAAATTGATAACATTATAATCTTTGTTTATTACCTTATTTATAAATTCGACTATTTTTTTGGAGCATTAAAATTTTTCATATATTCTTCTTTCATTTTTTCTCGTTCTTCGACTGGTGGCAATATTGGCGTTATTCCTTTACTTCGACGATCATGCATCACATCATTCTAGAATTAAATAATCTTTCATCTCAATTTTATTACATGTATAACATTATTTCAATAAAAAACAATAATTACCCAAAATCCCTTGCAATTTTTGTAGTTTTCAAAATACCACAGACATGCATCATGATCATATTGATTATCATCTAAACATTTTAGAGATAAATAGTGTTCCTGATGTAAACAAAATTATCATTTAACACATTGACTATAATAAATTCAATCTTTTTAATTATATGATTAGTATAAATTCATCACCTTTAAACAGGGATTATTTTCCGAAGAAGTTAATCTTGTATCACGAATTTTCACTTTTGTTGACATTTTAATATTTTATACAATCATTTTGTTTATGAAAATTGAGTTTTAGATGAAGAAATACGAAAAAAGAAGGTTATGGTTACATGAATGGAACACAAAGTATACATGTCAATATGTGTGTATGTAAATATTTAATAGAAGCAAGTAAGACAACTAATTAAAACTTATTCAACCAATATTTATTTTAAAAAAGAAATAAAAAGTAAAATTAACATTTATACATTTGAAGATTCTTCGCCAGTATCAGCAGCCATTGTTTCACGATTTTCATAAGCCCAGAATTCGTGAAATTCAATTAAAATACTAATCATAGTGTCACCTTGGCCACTAAAAAGAATAAATAATAATTTTTGTATGAATTTAGTAGTTGGAAAATATGTTTAATTCATATTTATATAAACAATGAATTATTACCATGAAAGAAGGTCTTGTAAAGTAATTTTATAAGGATCAGCAGGCTTGACCATATCGAATATTTCATCTTTAACATCTTCAAAGCTTACAGGTTCCTGTCCATGAATAGTCATTTGTTTTTGAATGGCTCGAAAGAAATAATTTAAGCAAAAAGTATCCAAATATCCACGATTATTAATGTCTAAAATACGAAATAAATAATGAAGACTCTGAGGTTCATGTCGATTTTCCAGTGCTAATACAAAATCTAAGTATGTTTTATAATCCATTTCTCCTTCATAAGTCAAACATTCTTGAAAAACTCGTTCTAAAAAAACTCCAGTCAATGTTCCAGTTCCATAACTGCAATTGAAACATATAAATTTCCAATTATATCTTAAAATGTGTATAATAATTATAATTTAAAAATGCTTACCCGGATAACTCTTCTTTACTAAGCATTCCATTATGATCTCGATCTAAATTGAGATATTGACCATAAACTTTTAAAGCAGATGGAGCCGAAAACCAGTTAGCTTCTTGAAGATCCTTCGGAAGATCCTCATCTCGTAATTCTAAAAGATCATCCAAAAAACTACATGCTAATATATCTTGTATTCGTACTCGACCTGTTCTTAAGGGATCGAGGAAAAATAAAAATTTTCTAACAGCTGTACAGACATAAAAGGAGTGAAATGATTTTTCCAGTCCTTCAAGTTGTGGCAGTGTTGGAATTAATTCCAAAATATAGTTTTCCAGATCCTACAATTAAGAAAAAAATTTTAACTCTGAATAAAAAAAATATTTAAATCAATTATGATAAAAATATTTTCCTCACCGATTCACGAAGATACCCTTGTCCAGTAACGTCGTATAATGAAAGACCAATTCGTGTTTGATGCAACCAAACCTTTCTCATCACATAATTGAACAAAGCCATGATACTTATTCTTCCATGAGGATCACCTTGTTGTAATTTAGCAAAAACTACAGCTGTAAAATATGGAGCACATTTAGCTCCTGCTAATTTTCCTACTTGTTTAAAATCCTCATAATTGATGAGCTGTTCATCGTTAGAAAGTGGTGGACTATGGTGCTTGTCTAAGAGCACCCATAAAGCTTTTAATTCATTATTATCTAATAGTTGTCGTGATCTTCTTTGAAGAAATAAGGCACGTGTTTCTTCTCTTAGTTTTTGAGGTAATATTTCATCTTCTTTGGGTAACTTAATTCGATAAATAAATGGATAATTAAAACAAATAATTCATTAATTTTTATGAAAGTTTTCCTAACATACCTTAAAATAAAATTTTGGAATAACTTTGTAAGTTGCATCAGTATCTTCAGCACTCGTTCCCTTCCATTTTTTATAAAAAGATTGAAAATATTTTTCTTCTTCTTTTTCAATATCTGCTGGATCCTTTTTACCTATATAGAAAATCGTTTAAGTAAATTCATTAATAAATTGTACGTTATATACAGTAATTCGTTGTTACCTCCGTTCGACTCCAATTTCTTTTTTAATAATTCTTTTAAACTTTCCATCACCATTCTCTATAAATTATTAAAAATTTGTATAAATGTTTAAGTTAAGGTTTGTACTTTCTTTTCTAAACAAATAAACAATTCATTATTATACATTGTGATATACAAAACATAACTTGACGCACGGTGCTTGACGTTTAGGGTGGCGCCCTAGGATCAGAGGAATTTTTAACTGCCATTTTTAGGGTTGTATCTCAACTGGTAATTCCTCATATGATAAATGAAAGCCGCGAAACAATAACCGACTGCGTAATCGACGTAACGACTTCGCGTTATGCAGTAGAAGGTCAAAGCTTGATATCGACTGAAGATCTGGAAGTTAGAAATTAGATTCCCCCTACAAGATAACCTCGTCAAAAATGCCGTATCTCGTATAGTTTTCGAGTTATGAGCGTTTAAAGGTTTTTTTTATGGCTTATTGGAGCATAGTTTTGTTTTCCGCCCATAACTCACGACCTATGAGAGGTACGTGGACCACAAGCATATTGATGGATTCCTAAGAGCAAGAGCTTTTCAATGCAATAGTCAAAATTATGATCCGAGCATAATTTATGCCAAAATTAGAGCCATTTCCGGTTTCACCTGCATTTCCGTTTCTACGGGTTTGAAAATGAATCATTATTTAAGGTCAAATTTCAGAGCATCAAAACGTACAGAATAACCTCCAATCATCAAAATTGAAGAATTTTCTTTTCTAACCTCGAAAATAGCAAAAAATCGTAATTATGCTTGGATCATAAAATTGAGGCTGCCATTGGAAAGATCATGACAAGACGGTTTCAAAACACTGGCTATCGACTGTATTTGGTTAATAAAATCAAGAGATATTCCTGAAAAACTGCGATACATAGAAAATATGCATAACTTCAATGCTAATGATGCTACGGGGTTGATCGAGGGTTCATATGAAAGATCTGGACCCAAGTAAAAAATTGGATTCCCCCTATAGGATATCCCCGTCAAAAATGCCGTATCTCACTTAGTTTTCGAGTTATGAGCGTTTAAAGGTTTTTTCATGCTTCACTGCAGCATAGGTTTGTTTTTCGATCATAACTAACGATTTATGAGAGGTACATTGACCACAAGCATATCAATGGATTCCTGAGAGCAAAAGCTTTCCATTGATGTAGTCAAAATTATGATCCGAGCATAATTTATGCCAAAATCATAGCTATTGTTAGATGCAGGGTTGGCCTGATATTTTGCGGTTATTTTTGTGAATGCTGACTGCATTTCTTAGCTCCCATAAGGACTGAACTTTTATACTGGTCTCTTTCCTCTGGTATTACTAAGGGGTATTTCAATTTTTCCCTTATGTCAAGATCTTTTATATGAGCCCTTGATCAACCCTATAGCATCACTAGCATAGAAGTTATGCATATTTTTATGTATTAGGGGAAATTAGACAGCTTTCTGACTTTAGCTCAGCCTTATTGAACGCAGCACGTAAAATTTTTCAAGCTACGCCGCCATTCACTTCATTAATCTTCACAGTTCTAATTATCGACTTAATTTCTTGTAAAGACAACTTCTTTTACCTCTGTTGGTGATGAATTGAAGAAGATTCTCCACTGCTCCGTAACTCAAAGAATGAGCGCTGTTGGCAGTTACCGTCAAATGTTTGGGCTGCACCTGTCCATTGAAAAAAATTCTTTTCCACGTTTATTTCTTGACAGCTCCGTTTTATGTATCAAAGACTTGCTATATTTCTCAGTGAAGTTTCCTACACATATCCAACGGAATAAGTTTTCTCATCTTCAACATCTTCTAACCATTGATCTTATTATTAATCTCATTAAGTGTGATAAGATGCACATTATACGAAACAATGCGAGAAACGAAGAAATTGTAAAATGTGTTAGAAAAACTGTTTAACAAGTCTTAATAATTTTTTCGATCGGTGGTACCTGAAACTTTAATGAAATTCAAATTGCTGACTTAGCTGTGACACCTATCATTGGCAAAATGGCTTTAACTGATGATGAAAATACTTGGTAATTCACTTATTCAGGAATCAATTTTTCATCTTTTAAAATGTCATTCAATTACATCTATTACTTCCTAAATATCTCATTGACTCATTGAAAAATTAAATAATTTAGAATATTTATTTTCTTGAGTTTATTTTGTTTATTAATTTGCATCTACTATGATCTCCAAAACAAAATATGTTTGCAACAAAAGTGATCAGTTTAGTCACATTTAATTTTGAAGAACTATTTTATTTTATTAATTTTTCATGTGTGATTCTATTTAAAATTTATTTGAATTAATCACATAATCTATTCGTGTCTTTTTCTAATTCAAGTGTTTCATCACAACATGTGAAAACAGATAATCGTTTCTTTCTTAATGTCTATAATCTTTCCAAATACATAGAACAATATTGAATTTAATACATAAGCGATTATCTTGTATATACAAGAAGGCAGTGGTTTCTTTAGTTGATAAGATAAAATTATTAATAATTCATTTTCTTTTTGATAGGACTCTGGAATTGGAAGCAGCTCTTCTAGATGCTGAAGCTCCGTCTGCATCAGATATATATGCGATTACGAGAGGCCAACCAATTCCTGCTAATTTAAGGCCAGATGTTTGGCAAGCATGTCTAGATGTTACAAGCAGAGGCAATCAGTTAATACACTTTAACGAAATATTTGATCTTCCAGAGCAAAATATCATTAGGAAAGATTGTCAAGAACTAGTTGGTAAATTGGTTTATTCACGAAAAACAAACAATATAAATAAGTTCAAATAAAGCATGAGATGATATAAATATTATGTTTTAGATAAACTTGGAAATGATGACTCAGATAAAGTTTCCGTTGTTTCTGACCTAGAATCTATTATAACTTTTTATTGTAAAAGTAGAGGAAAATCTTACGAAAGTGGAAATGGATGGCTTGAGCTATTAGGTCCACTGATATCATTGAAACTGCCAAAAGCAGCTACATATAATTTATTTGAGGCCATAAGAGATGTTTATATTCCACGAGGCGACACTCACAGTTCCATTTTACGACTTCTACTCCTTTATCATGACCCAGAATTATGCTCTTTTCTAGATACAAAACGCATATCTCCTGATCAGTATACCAAAGGATGGATCAACACATTGTTTGCTGGTGTATGTACACTTCCGGTAATCTACAATATATGGGATCTCTATTTTATGCAAGAAGATCCATTTTTCATGCTGTTTTCATCACTTGTCATGGTTGTCAATGCCAGGTAATTGAGTTTTGACTCATTCATGTAGATTTATAAATAACTACTGTCCATCAAATTAACAAAAAATATTTTTGATAGAGAAAAAATATTGGGAATGAAAGATGATGACAGGAAGAATATAATCGATACGTTAGTGGCAATGCCTCGAGCTATAGAAGTAGAAGATGTAGCAGATTTTTGTTCTCTGGCGCAATATTATAAAATGACAACACCAACTTCTTTCAAACAAGAGTTATATCCTATTATGTTTGGTGAAGGAGGCGATGAAAAATTCATATCACATGCATTGTGTTTACCTGTATCAGCCGAGGAGCTTGTAGAAAATACAGTGGAAGCTCCAATATCTTCTAATGTACCTTCAGATTCTGTAAGATTTTTTCTTGTTGACTGCAGACCTGTTGAACAATACAATGCTGGACATTTGCCTACAGCATTTCATTTAGACTGTAATTTAATGTTGCAAGAACCTGCAGCATTTGCTACAGCTGTTGATGGATTACTTAGATCTCAAAGACAAGCTCTTGCAATTGGATCTAATGCTGGTGGTGAACACCTCTGTTTCTTGGGCAGTGGACGACAAGAAGAAGATCGTTACACTCATATGGTTGTTGCTTCATTTCTTCAAAAACACACTCAATACGTAAGCATGGTAAAGAATGGTTACCAAGCAATCCACGAATACTTTGGTGATGAAGTAATCACTAATTTAGTAGATCATAATTTCCAAAGGTGTTTAATCTGTAGTGCGAATTGTTCTGAAGATGATTCTAAAGATGTGAGTCCAGTTAAGATGAAGAGTAGTAATTCTGATTTATTTAATAAAATTGGAATGGCAATGAAGCTTAAAGGACAAGAAGTTAAAGGGAAATTATTTGATTATATTGTAAATCCATCAACAAGTGTTAATAACAGTGTTGAGAAAAAAGATGGTGAATCTGATAAACAGCCTAAACACACGATGCCTGTATTTAGTATAGATGATGTTCATGATCCAGATATGATTATAAGTAATCCAGAAAATGAACAACCAGTTGAAGTTGTTTCTATTCAACAATGGTTAAAAAATTCTGCTTTGTTACATTCCTTTAAATGCCAAGAAGTTAAAGTTAATGGCTATGTTTATGAAAGGTAATTATTTTTACATATCAAAGAAATATTTATTTATTTATTTTGAAAAATTGAACATTTTATTTTTACTTTTTAGTCATTTATTGGTTACGGATAGTCACTTGATTGTCTTGCGAGAAGTTCCTGGTACAAAAGATGCAGCACATGTTATAGTAAAACGTCCTTTATTAAATATCGTTAAGATAACTTCTCGAAAACACCATCCAGATTTAATAACTTTTAAATATGGCACTACACAAAGTGATATGCTAGTCATTTCTGATATGGACCGGCTTTTGATTCCAAATGGTAGTGAAGCTGTAAAACTTATTTCGCAACAGATTCTAAAAGAATTGAATCATTCTAAATAATGTGAGTGATATATATATATTGTATATTTGAATAATTGCACGTAGACAAGGTCACACGTAAAAGTCGTAACCATTTTTGTTTCTTTATTTACTCAATTTTTTTGGTACTTATCTTATCGACTAATCGACTAATAATAAACAAAAAAAGTATATTTATACGTCCATTAATTATATTTATCAAGTGCCATTATTCTGAATTAAAAGCATTCCTTTCATTACGTATACAATATTAATATTCAGGACAATCTACCATTGTTATTTGTTTCACTAGAAATGCAATAATGCCATTATTGATAATTATTTTTAGTTTTTCATAAATAGTTTTTATTGATAATCATTAACAAAATATAAAGAATAATTGAAAGTAATTAAAGTCAAAAAACTGATATGAGCAATCTTAGAATATTTTATGAAAAAAATAAAACTGATATGAATAACAAAATATATGTTCAAATTTATACATTTACAAATGATACATATATAAATGTATACAAAAATAAAACTTCCAAAATCAAACTTATTAATTAGTTATGAGTAAATTAACAAAATCTAAAAAATGACATAAAAATACAAAATTACAAATTAAAAATATGTTATACAACTTGTAAAATATATTTACGTTTTACAATTGAGAAAATTTTATAAAACAGTGTACATACATAAATTTACGAGATAATACATTATAAGATGTTTGTCATCAAAAGTACTGAAAATATTATTAAAAAAGACCTTGTCAGAAATGTATGCATATACCGTCGCTTTTATTCGATATATTATTTATTCAATCAGTATTTTAAGTTATGCAGTCTGCAATTTAAAATTACTCATACCAAGTTATATAGTAACTGATATGAACATTTGGAGTAGAACTAAAATAACAGAATCATAACAAAGCCAAAAATACAACTGCAATTTCTATATATATATATAAATTATTATTTTATTTAATAAAAATATTAAATTATCATAGAAGTGACGATATATAAATATATTTTTTCATGTACATATATATTATCACGATCTAAATATATAATATCTATAAGGTTGTATATGATAGAAAGAAGTTGAAATATATTAAAGATAATTAACTATTTCGTTTATATTATTTTAATTAAGATGAAAATTATATTTATAAATCAACGAAAAATTTAATTTTGTGTTTTAATAAAAGTATTACCAGGATTCAAGTATAATATCTTATCGAAACCTACTCTCATTAATGATTGTTTATCAAGGTTCTTCAAACGATAGCATAAAAATTACTGTTAATGTCGAGTAGTTTAAATTTTAAATATTCTATCTAATTATAAATTACAATACTTATTTTTTTCGTTAATAGTTTTGTTATTAAATTCAACAGAATTATTATTAATTATCTATAAATACATTAAAAACTCACATATTCATGATTGATGATGTTTTCAAACAGTCTGAATTGGCACATGCGCTGTTGAGCTTTAAAGAACAATCACAATAAAGGAATTTAATAACATTTACATGTGTGTATACGATTAGTATACATGTGAGTTTGTAGATGCAAAAGTCATTTGCTGATGACAGACAAAATGATTTTTATATTGTATTATAAAACCTGACAGAATCCATGAATTTTTATTCATGCTTCATGATTTTGAAATAAAATGGCTATCAATTGGGCTGAACTATTTCCTGGAAGATGGAGTGGATTAATTTTTTTGTCTTATATGACACTTTTTATAAATCAAGGTAATAGTTTTTTTTTCAAATCTACATTAATACAAAATTGATCAATCAAAATGACTACAGAATTTTATAGATTTATTTGATTAATCCATAATAGATGGTATGAAATATTTACATAGAGGTTATATCCTACTTGTGTCTATTTTGATATGTAAATATATGATAGATATGCTTTTTGATTACAGGGATAATTGTGACATGGTCTCAAATCAAAGGGAATTACAACTATAATTTTGTGACTGTAGTACTTTTGACTGAAATTTTAAAACTAGTTGTGTCAATAATATTATACTGTCGGAAGTAAGTTGATATGAATATTCTGATTCTTATCAAGAAAGTAGATTTATTGTTAATGATCTCATGTTTTTTACTACAGCAATAATATAGCCGTATTTTTTAAAGAAGTCATAAAATATAGGCAGATATTCTTACTTTACATGGTTCCATCATGTTTGTATTGTTTTTACAACAATTTAGCTTTTGTTAATCTAGCCGCTTTTGACCCTACAACTTATTATTTATTATTACAATTCCGTGTAGTAATTACTGGAATTATTTTCCAGGTAAGTGTCTTCTTGTTATAAATTTACAATTCTATAATTTTATTTGAAAAATGATGATGATAATTTTATTTATCTACAGATTATTTTTAAAAAAAAATTATCCACTATACAATGGATATCTTTAATCATCTTAACTCTAGGCTGCATGATAAAACATTTAAATTTCAACTTCAACGGTAATACTGTGATACCAAAATTCACATTAAATATAAATGTTTTATTTATATTAATTCAGGTATGTTAAACCAATATTTTATTTGTAATCACTGTAATAATTCACCGAGGTTTATTAGCTAATTAATTATCTTTTTTCAGACAATTTGTTCTTGCCTAGCTGGAGTGTATAATGAATATTTATTAAAAGGCCAAGGAGCTAACATAAACATTTTTTTACAAAATGCTTTTATGTATGTCGACAGTAGTATTTGTAATATAGCAGTTTTAATATTGCAAGGTAATCCACTGAAAGTGTTTGAGGATGTAGGTCCCAGTATTTTATTACAACCAAAAGTTCTACTAATAATTATAAACAACGCAGCAATAGGAATAATAACGAGTTTTTTCTTAAGAAATTTAAATTCTATTTTAAAGACATTTGCCAGTGCCTTAGAATTAGTGTTCACTGCAATATTATGTTGGATTATATTTGGTATTCCAATTTATCTGAACACAATCCTGGCAATAAGTATGGTATGCTATGCTGTATTTTTATACTCACAAAACCCAGTACAAAATGTTACTCCAAAGATAGAGACAAATCATAACTGTGAGGAAAGTGAACAGCTCGTGTCAGATAAGACTTCTTGTGTTTAACGAACAAACTTTTTCATTATTTTAGGATCAGTATCTTTACAGTATCAATAAAATAATGATAAGTAAAAGTTTATATGCCATAGAGAATATTTATAATCGATCAAACATCGTACAAACTGAGCTTTACTATTATTTGAATAAATATCAAATATTTTACTTATATGAGTAGCTACAGTATTTTATGATTCTTTTTTATCGTACGATAAATATACTATTAGTAGTAGTGATAATGCTATTACATAATATTAATAACTTGCTGTCATGACCAAATTTCTAGAACAAATTACAGAAATAATTTGAATTACAATATGAATTGATATTATCAATTTTGTTTGGTGCCATGGTATATGTTTGCGTGTGACTACTGTCTCAGACCGGAAGTTGAGTGCTCTGGTTATATTATTGTGTCCTAAAACTTGTAGACGGCGATTGACCCACTTATTTCACTATTTAATCTATTAACATCACGACTTCTTGATAACATTTCCCTAGAAAATAATCAATGTCGCCTTGAGATACTTAAAAGTTTTTTCATCAGACTTATAGACATTATAGAAATTAACAGTAAACGCCAAATAGATATAGCCAGTATTCGGAATAAACATTTATCGGTTGTATTATCACATTATAAGAACAGACAGGTTGCTCTTCTAATATAAACTGAAACTCATTTGAACTTATTGAATAATTAAATGAGCAATCATTAAAGACTATTTTAAGAATTCGATTAATATGACCTTACACAATGAAAGTTGTAGTTGACAAATTTTTTATCAATTTCATTTTTTATTTTTAATTATCAAAGTTTTATTATTGTTACTGGATTATCACTTTATTAGTTTTAAAGAACTTGAGAAGAACAATTTTGTTATTTTTATTACCCAGTAAACAGGATTATTTTCATTTTCTTATTATTGTATTATTGTATTATTGTATTATAGTATTAATTAGAGTATCCATGATAATAATTATCTTGGAATATTAAACGTACTGATAATGATATTTAATTTGTTAAAAATAAAATAAAAATTTTCTTAAACTTTACAATATTGTTTCTTCTATAAAATAAAAATTTACCGATGAAGTAATTTTTGTTCTTGCTCAAATACCCATTAAATCCAAATACTTTCCAACAACTAATTTGCATCAACTTTTAATTACTTTTTGATCGTTTTATCCTCCAAGGGTATATAGCATGTACCTAGAAGCAACTCCTTTTTGTTTCATGATTGAATATTTTATAATAATTACAGTTTGAAGTAACAAAAAATGGATATAGATACAAAGAAAAGCTTTCAAGGAAATCCTCTCAATAGTCTTCTCTTGGTAAGTAGACTTATAAGGGTGTCAAGAAGACTAATAGAGGACGGCTTTGGTTGGTGATGAGACTGAAGAGACCCGCAATCCGTACGAGTGAAGACGGCAATGATTCTTCAGGGGTCTTTTATGTAAACCACTAGATTACTGACGAAGAATCGCCCTGACTTTGAGTGGGGATGGGGTGGTCGATATTCATGCGCACCTACTTGCTGTGACCAAGTGAAAGGAATCACCTACTAGTCACATGCCAGTCGTGCTCGCGTTTACTCTTCTACTCGCCAAATCGAAGCATCGCGGTCTCGGCTAATTTTTCATAAGTACGTGTGTTATTATTTAATCATATCACGTAACACTTTATCCATTTCCAACGTCCTTTTCATCATAATCTATATCACTGTCATCATCATCATCATCATAACTTTGATAAAATATTTACCAATTTGCAATGTTATTGAATTGTAAATAATTATAATAAAAAATTGAAGGAAATATCAAATAAGTGATACACTCAAGGATATTTTTTTACATAAACGAAACCTTTTCGTGCACACTGTTTTGATTAGCCCGTTTCATGTCACAAAGATTGAAAGATAAATTTACCAACTCTACTCTGCTGTTATTGTAAAAATATCATGTAGAAAAAATTTGAATAATTACTTTGAAATTTCCTTCGTTGTTGCTTGATTTTTTATGCCAATACAAATGTCGATTTCCACTGCTTATGTTGACGTTACCAGTTTCAAAACATCCAAGTTTCCGGGTTGTCAATATCTACCTTGAACCTTAATTACTAACTGAACATTGCATAAAACTTCAAGTTCCTATCATGTTTTCTTTTTTTCAATGAAAATATAATATTTTCATAGAAGTACAGACATACTGTCGTTCAATAAAATATTTGTTATAATATATTATGCTCTACATCATCAACATACTATATTATTACTGTATTTGACATGTTTATTCACGCCACGTGATATACATATATTTTTGAAATAATCAGATTAATCAATAAAAGTTAAAAAAACTAATCTTATCAAGTTACGAAAAGCTGATTTAATTAATATGAAATAACTAACCAATAAATATTTGAAAGTAGTGAAGATCAATGACTATGCAGCCATGTGACGAAGAGCAAAACATCAAGATGATCTCTAAGGTATGTCTGAGTGTATCGGACAACACAAATTTGTATCTTCAATGACGGGATCGACAAAAACGGGGCCACTCCAGCCCCATCAAGAGGAACCGGTGTCGGAACCAGACGCATCGCCGGTATATAAGAAATCATCGTCAACTGAGCATCGCATGCGACAGAAAATGACACCTGTTCCACAACAGGCAGAACAACCAATACAATTAACTCCACTTTGGGAACACGTGGTAAGTCATTGTTTATTCATCAACTACCTAATCTCAAGTGTTTCATTACTATTCAAAAACATAAAGTTAATATAAATAACCTAAAAATATTTTGATTGTTGTAATAAAAGCTGCATGTAATCAAATGTACAATAGGAAATAACGGATAAATCGAATTAGTAGAGGATTAAATAATTATTTGCTTAATATCGACTGTCAATTAATGGATAATTGTAGTATCAAGACTACTATGTAACAATACAAATCAATAGGTTCGCACGCAACAATTTCCCCCGGATGTGGACACATGTTTGGTATTCAATGAGATATTGGCAAGGCTTCGTGATCCTGAATGGGAAGTACGTCAACATGCCATGAGGGTATTAGTTGATGTCCTACCGACACTGGATGTAGAGGATGTGGATGAACTCATGGATCCAGTTGTCATCGAGCTTATTAATAATCTCGGACACGTCGCTCCTGCTGTCAGGAAAGGAGCATTAGATACTTTGAGAGTCTATCTCAGTTGCAGTCAGAACCGAGATAATATTATTCAAACTGTAAGATTTTTTTTCATATTGAAGAATTTCAATCATTTATAACAACTTTTATTAAAAATATCTTTTTATTTTTAAAGATTTTAGCTCGAGGGTTGAATTCTGAAGATGTTACAAATTCATGTCAATCAAATATTGCACTTGGAGTAATATTAAGTGCTCCTTCACTCCTCTTTCCATCATCTTCAAACCGTTTTCAACCATCAAAACAAAGCTTGAGGATGGTACTTATTGTCTTAACTAATCATTTAGTACAGTCCTCACTTCAAGAAGCAGTCTTAAAGTCACTCATCAAAATTCGTGATATTATCGGAATAAAGGAGTTTGATTCTTACCTTTCTGAGTGCCATCCAAATGCAAAACAAGATTTTGAAGCTTTATGTAAAATTCACAACATCAGTTTCACTCCTAAGAAGACTAAGAAAGTTAAGAAGAGTAGTAAGAAGAAGTTGAAGAAAGAGAACTTGAATGAAGGGGAATCTCAAAGTTGCCAAAATATGGGTGAAGTAGCGATGGTAAATGACGATAATTTAACTATACCACCTTCAAGAATTGTGTTAGAAACTGAAATTAAATTAAATCAAGAAACTGCAATAACAATGACAATTTTAGAAGAGAAAGATGAAAATTCTGAAATGGATAGTGCTGATGAATTAAATTTAGCAAAGGTAAAAGAATTAAATGATGAAGAAAGGGATAGAATAATGGAATTAGACAATGAACCTCAAGACGTTTGGATAGAGAGACGAAAAACACCTAGAAGAGTTCACTTTGGAGGTGAAATTATTAAACTAAGAACTCCTGATAGTGATGATTCAGAAATAATTCAAGTGCAAGTGCCACAAACGAAAATCCCTCTTCCCGTTTCTCCAGTTACCAAAATGCCTCTTTATCGACCTGGGAAATCGCAATCCCATCCATGCAGTCCAAATCTTCCCCGAAGGCATATTCCCAAAAGGTCTAGGTCGGTTTCTAATAGTCCTAAGAGAGAGATTTATGTATACGACGGTAGTTTGAATCCCAAGAAAGGTATACTAATGAAGACTAGTTCAACATTTGTGAATCAAACTATTCATCAGTCACCGAATGATATTGATGATGTTTTTGGTATGAGTGAGAATGATAGAAGCTGGGCATTTGAAGTCTTTGAAGAAGTTGACGAGAATCTATTGAAAAAAGAACAAAATCTGTTTGTAGAAAAATCGAAGAAGAAGACTAAAAGGTCTACTAAAGTTCATTCTTCTTCTGGGCTTGGCCATAAACGTGAGAAAGTACAAGCTCAAGGTGAATGTAATAAGTTAGATGAGTCTCAAGAGAAATTCAATGAAATTCACTTTACTAAAACTCCTAAAATTAAGGATACTCCCTCAAATTCCAACGGCGAATCGTCAGACATGTTAAATGATGTGAAAAAACATCCTGATAAAAATATTGATACTTCAAGACTGGAAAGTGCAAAGAGTGAAAAGAATGTGAAAAATTTGGAAAAAAAATTACACAATGATTACTCGAAAACTGACGAAGTAGAGAGAGAAAAAGGTAAAAGTTTGAATGTCGAAAATAAAAGTTCAAGAAAACTTGAAGATAAAACCCGGTCACCACGTAAAGTCTTTGAAACTTTTCCTCGACAAGAGCGAAACTATATTCTTATGGAGCTTTCAAGTCCTGTTAAAAGCAATTCAAGGAGTCGTGAAGTTTCTCCCGAGGGTATTCAATCGCGTGAAAATTCTCAAGAGTTAAAGACTTTGTCTGATCCTTCATCTATAGAGTTAAATGTTCCATCCTTCCTTAATGAGACATTGAAAATAAAACAAATTGCACCGGTGCAAGAAATTCAGTCAACGTCGTTGGAAATAAAGGATGAAGTTAGCAAAGGTATTAAAGATGAATCTAATGAGACAGATTTAACTGAAACAATAAATAATCCTGATAATTACGAAAATAATGAGAAAACTTATCGGAGTAATGATACTGAGAGTAAACTTCAAGAGTCGAATTGGGAGGAATTAGGTATAGTTGATCAAGAAGTTCTAAATGATCTTCACAATAAGGTAAGATATCGATATGTGCTTTTCATTACAATTAATATTCATGTATAAGTTAGGAAAAATTAGGAGGTCACTTACTCCCTGAAAAAAAAAGAGAAATATTACATTTAAATATTCAAACATTAGTCTAAAGAGGGAAAGAATGAAAGTGATATAACCATATCTAATCTTATAATCAGTAATTATTAATCATACATTCTTAAGAGCTTAGTTAAGCATGCAATGATGACGATCGTCGCAAGAATATTTGAATCACAGTTCCGCTAAAATCCTTTTGATGTAGAGCCGGGGTTGAAAGTGGGTCGATCGATTCATGCACCAGACAGTTTGTGAACACTTTCTAAACATTATTTTCTTCAGTCCATTCATTCATTTCAATATGTCTTAGAGATTGTGTATTTTTCTCCTTTCTTTAATTTCTTTGATATTCTCTTTCTCAAGCAGTTACTTGTCAAAGACTTACGATGATGCATACGAATAGTATTCTTCAAGAGAGTAGTCAAACATTTCAAAGTCAAGTTTGAACTTCTTGTATAATTTATCAATCCTTCCTCTGTCTAATTGTCGAAAGTAAATCTTTGATGCATTCATTTCTCCTCCGCTATGTCGCCATTTTGGTTGAATCTGGTCTTCCTCTCCAAGTTTCTTAATTATAAACATTTGATCTTGCTGCAAAGTCTCGACCTAAAATAAATTTCTTATCATCTTAATAATAAGATTCTTCTAAAAGTTTGCTTACCTTTGCTATGATAGAGTAATTAAGCGAACAAGGAGTACAGTATAAATAATATGGCATCCAGTGATCATCTCCATAATTTGCCAAGTCAGTGTCTATCAAATAATCCACAAACTCTTGCCAAGTAGGCTCAATTCCAGCAGGGGCTGGTACTCCTTCCTTTCTGATATATTCATTAGTCTTTTGTGAAGTCAAGTTTTTCGCTTTAACAGGAATCAACAATTAGTTAACTTGTTAAGTAGACTTTAATTAGCATTTATTAAAATTAGTTCAAATTATTGTAGAAACAAAGTAAAGGAAATTCTTAAAAGCTCGTCTTTTCTTTCACGATTGAACTTTGTGTTGAATTATAAAGGTGGATATTTCTATTTTATTATCACGAAATATTATTTTTATGCTCCTATTTACGTTAAATAAGTACCGAGTATAATTTTCAAACATTTAAATTTACTGCTATATAAACGTTGATTTATTATCAAAATCTCCATTTTCCCCTTATTGAATTAAAAAGTGAATAAAAATTTTCCAACTGCTTCAATTAATAAAAAAATGCCGGTTGTTTATGATTCTACTTTTGAGTTATTGATTAGAAATAAGTGTAATAATGATAACGACTGTGTCCTCAATTAAGTAAATAAAATTCACCTCTATATTTCTTGACAATCATCGCCCCATATTTACGATAAAAGTGTAGTGTTCCATGCTCCCTTCCGGCAACAGAGTTTTCGAGTTTGTCTCGATAAGCGCTCAACAATCTTTCAAACGGATGTCGTACAATAAGAAGCTTCAACGCTCCCAACATAGCCTGGAGATTATAAATAATTGCGTAACCTTTGGTATTGTGTTAAGTAAATAAATGTTATTCATAAATAACTAATAAATAAAACAATTCACTGACATTCTCGACTTCTGGAAAATCTAGCTGGGGCATAACTCGCCGGGCTATTGTGGATAATTGTTCTCTACCGCTATTTAATTCTAACTCTGGTACATTCATCAAAAGACACATATTGTAGAGCCACGATGTACTACCAGCTTTATAAATTGGACAGTAGGATAATTTATGAACTCTTAAAAAAAAAACAATTACTTTAGTGAATTGGAATTGAGTAGAAAGTACCATAAAAACCCCTCAACTTACTGATCAATATAAAAGACTCCATACTGAGGTGCAGGAGGATATTTGTACTCTTGATTTCGTTTTTCATCATGATAAATTCCCAAGTTATATTTCTTACAAGTCGTTTGTATCTTTAAAATTCTTTGGCTATTTCTTTGCTCCAATTTCACCTGTGCTAAGTGTTAAAAAGCAGTAATTTACCTAGTGATTTAGTTAAATGCACAAGAGAATTACAAAAAATTATCTTACCAACAACAACTTTTCAACTTCCAACCTATTCTCTTGATGATTATCAGACAACGGTTTACTAATTAAAATGAAGACCAAAATAAAGGAAATTATTAATAAAATAAGACAATTCATTGTTCGACATCTTCTCAACATCTTGAAGATAATTACACTTTAAACTGATTTAAATAAAGAATCAAACTCGAATTAAATTCGTTTAATATTTAATGTTATTACAAGAGCTCAAGAGAAATATTCGTGTAGTTTATAAGTCGCTAAGAATAAAACCTTCCGGATGAGTCGACTGGTTTGGACTAACAATGAGCAGCTCACCTTGAAGGAGCAATGATCTGTTCGCATACTAATTGAGCTGTTCATCTGTTTAAATTTGTTATTTCAATCGACTCAAAAAATTACGTAAAATCAATTATTTCGTAAAAGCATTTAATGGATATGGATATAACTTTTTTTCACTTTATTTAAATTTTTCGTTTTCTTCACTTATGAGTGACCTGGTTTCTGTCTGTACTTGCGTGGAGATTAAATCTTTTAGGGGGCGTTTAAAGATCAATAATAATGACTAAAAATTTATCATAAAAAAAACTCAGAGTTAAATTATCTGTAATAAATATGAATCACGGATAATAGCTAACTATTAACATATGCATTTAAAGAGTCTTCTCGTCACTGAAGAAAGTTTTCATTTTTTATTATCAAAAAATATTCATTTTTCAGATGAAAAAATTTAATATAAACCTCGCGCTTCCGTTTAATAAAAAAAAACAAAAGTATAATGAGGCACATGTTGCGTGCAAGAAGGAACTGGTGGTACTTATACCAAGTGCAATATGCAAATTCATCCAAGTACATTATAACAATAATTCAACTGCAGAGCAGTTGGCTATAAGACTTCCTTTTATCTGATCTTTTATTTATCCCTCAAGAAATAAAGAAAATTACCACCATATTTTCCACGTAGATTTAAGCTTTCTAGGTAGAATAGCAACAACATTGAAGGTATTATTTATTCAACAGGAAGATTGGAGAGCGAGGGTTCGAGGTCTTGAGAGAGTAGCATCAGCTCTAAGGACTTCATCAGCATTGATTCGTATTGAACCACGTCTTGGTTCTCTATTGAATGCTGTTTTGGGATGCGAAAGAAGCTGTCGAGTGGCTGCAGCAGGCATGGCTGTTGCTAGGGTAAGCCTACGTTCAATTTAATCATTCATTTGATGAAGACTGGCTCAATAATCCAAATATTCTTGCTGGAAAAATGCAGTTATCATCATTTAAAGTTGATCATGACTAACTTCTATCGAAGAAAAAGTACTTAGAAATAAAATTATAATATTCAATTTACTGACTATAAATTTATGTTAAATGAATGATGGCGTTGATGGTGTATTAAATAATAGATCTTTGCGAGCAGGTAGTAGTTGCAGGGGTGTCAGAGGAAGCCCTTAAACTTCGACTGCCTCAACTTGCATGGGGCTTAGCTCGACAAGGTGGTCCAAATGCTGCACAACTTGCAAGAATTGCTATGCTACGACTAAGACCAGCTCTTTTCCTTGAGCAACTGCTTCAACCTTACTGCATTAACGCCGAAAATGCTAAGGCAAAGGTTTTATCATCATAATAAATAAAATTAGACGTTATAATTTATGAATATTCACATAAAGTTCATATTCAACTTAAATTTCCACTCTATAAAATCGATAAAAAGCGCAGAATTATTCAATGAATGAATTACTACGTCAACTGTCTACTTTAGGTTTGAACAAGTTCAAAATCATTTCCGAGATTAATGTACTTAATATTTAATTAAATTATTAATATTGTGTACTTCAAATACTTCTAGAATTATAAAGTTTCACTAGTCAATTAAAAGCTATAAAATAGATTTTCATTTCATAAAGCTCGTTAATTATTTAAACTATGTCGAATAGAAACAGAGTATTCTCTGTTATTTGAAATAATCTAAAATAATATCAATTACATTTACGATTGTTTTAGAATGAAGTGAAATATTCAAATAATTATCTTCAAATATTTTTTTAATACTTAAAATATACTTTTGAAATTAATTACTCACTAGCATTAATCATTTGGTGAATATTTTTTTTATATAGACTCGAGAAAATGCTCTTCAATTGCTCATTTTTTCTTTGGTTACTTTCCCAAGTACTGAGTTCAAAGTAGAAAATGTGGCGAATAAGGTAGCTTTGATGGTTGGGGATAGAAAAAGGCGAGTCAGACAAGCAGCTTTAGATACTCTCGCAGTACTTGCACAAATTTATGAGCCTGAGGTAACATCAAAGAATTGTTATTGTTCGTCAACTTGTTTACTTGCTTTATATTTAACTCAAAGTAAATTCACCGCAGGAAGTCCTTCAAGCTGGTCAACGGGCAGCTAAAGAATTGAAAGAAGGACCAGAAATGGTTGCTGCTATCAAGACAAGATTGGCTAGAAAATCACTGCCTTTAGTTTCGGCTGATGGACTTGTTGTTTATGGATTACAAATTTCTCCAACTATCCAAATCGCTGCAGGTAAAGTTTCTATTCTACTAGAACTAATCACCATATCTTAAATGCATTACCCAATTGATTTGTGTTTTATAGGACCCGATGTAGATTGGATTGTTGCTGGAAGTGGATCAGTTTCACCTGGTACTGGTAGACCAAGGGGTCAAATAATTCCTATGAATCAATATCAAGCTAGATTAAATAAATCAGCGAACAAAAAGTAATTTATTAACTTTTTAATTTGTGAACATCTTGGATGATAAATGAACGACTTCAATAATTTTATTAAATCCTTTCAGAAGTGAAACGAGAAAAATTTCAAGCTCAGAAATAAATGTTGCTGCAACTGCAGCTTGGCAATTACTCTCACCTCCATACAAAGTAAGTTCTTTCAATAATTATTTTGTTTTCCAATAAACTTTATTGGCGTTAATTAATTCTTAGAATGAAATAAATTTAAATCAATACATTCGCTCGTGGAACGATTTTTCTTTTGTTAATTATTCGATTGTCATAATTCACGAGTCTGTGACAAATACGTAACAATTAGGTAACAGGTTAGGTAAATTAAAATGAGCTCTTTTTAATTAGTTATTTGAATAAACAGATAATTATTTATCAACACTATAAATAACGATTATGTTTTTCTAGGATGAAACTAATCCATCTGACTCAAAAATTCACGAGAATAACCAAAATAGTCTATCAACTTCTACCGGTAACCTGTCATTTTATAGAAAAACATTCAGCGATGGAGATTTAAGTATTAAAAGTTATTCAAAACTTCCAGAAATACAAAGTGATTTTAAACTACGATTAAAAAATAATTTAACGCCTTATTTAAATCCACTTGACAACTTTGGAGATGCTTATGGTTCAGATGTTGTAAATTTATCTTTGCTCCAAAACGACAAAGACGTCATAATGAAGCAAAGGAAGACCGAAGAAAATTTTCATAGAAGGATGGATGAAATTTATGCAGAAAGACCTCATAATACATTTAGAATTGAATCAAGAATTCCTATAGCTCAGTTTGGAGATCGTAATATTGTTGTAAGACACAGTACAGCATATCAAAGGAGACGTCGTCTTATTAATGATGAAGAGAAATATCAAACATCAGCATCAGCTCCACAAACTGCTTCAGGACCACGCGATGAAAGTATAAACAGGAGATACATGAGTGATAGAATTAAACAGGAATCTCGGCCAGGTTCTAATTCATGGAATGAGAACTTACCGTCGCCAATTTCTCCATTTCGTAACTTGTAAGTTAGTTCTCGAGTATAATTAATAATTAAAATGTATAACTTTCTTTTTATTTGTAAAAAAAAAACTCACTATCAATTTAGGTCCACTCCAAACCATAATTACAGGAAAAAAAGTATAATTCAAACCACCATTGTTAAACCAAAAGAACTTTTTCCATCTAGGGTAAGTCTTTGAGGATTGTAAAATTACATTTCACTTTGATAAAATAACTGAAAATAATTTTTTCAATTTTTCTTTCAAGCCTGATTCACGATCTCGAACGATTTCCAACTCTTCAACGATATTTAGAGCAGAATTTATGAGTCCGTACGTAAATAATCAATTATTATTTCACTAGTTTTAGCATTTAGAAGAGCAAGTTTTAGAGAAAAATTAGATTGTAATTTTTGTTTCCACACCATTAAGTAATTAGATCATCTAGAATTATAACCCAACATGACAAGCAGTATGAATCAAGTTATAAGTTATAAGATATTCGAATCTGATAAACTTCATATAACCCTAATTATGATAGGCCTGTGGTTGGAAATTAATAAGTGAATACTTAGCTGTCACATCAAAGCGACAGATATTAAAATAAATGGATCCTTGACCTAATTAATCATTGATTATAATTGAATAAAATTCAAGGATAAGTTTGAGTTATTGAATTAGATGTTTAGTACATTGTAGAACTGTTGTTTAGAAAATAGTCTATAGAGTGTTGTCAAGGTTTGCGTTTTGTTATCATTGGTGCTGAAAAATTTATCAAATATACATCAGAGCTATTGAACGATTACATTTTCCTTGCAAATACACACATGCGGGAGCCATTATATTGAATTCGTAACTCCTTATCGTACATTCCTCTTCACTGAATAATTCACCTAACTCTTTTGGTCTCATCGTAAGGGTCGATTTTCCATTTCAACACATCCGGGAAAATTCGCGTGTGTCTGCTGGTAGTAATATCGATTGTTCGAGAAATTCAAACACCATTTGTATCAAAAAACTATCAAGGTAATAATTGAACTGAATAAAATACATTAATTGAAGCTTATATTGCTTTTATATAGCAAAAGAATCATCAACTATTTATTAAGGTCAGAATAATAAAATTAATTTATGGTTGAAAAGAAAACAAGAATGACTTTTAATGTTTGTTAAGAATTCTCAATGTTAAATGTTGATACTTGAGCAAAATAAAGGGTAAGAATGACTGAAGTAGTAAGTCAGTGGTCATTCCCAAGCTCTAAGTGGAGGGTAAAACTGGACTTGTATGCTCAAGTGCGCACAGGTGGAACAAAGAGAACTGAAAGAGGGAGAAGCTGACGAAGTGGAAAGGTGAAGGAGACGTGGGGTGAACCCCAGTGGTCAGCGTCGCGACGCTTACAGGCGGTCAGTCGTGCGTGTTTTACTGCTCCGTTTATGTCTAACTCGTTTTTCCTCTTAGAGAATTCCAACTCTTGCAGCCTAAATTAATGGTGTAATACATTCACCATTAATCTAATTGTGAATAAAATAATGAAAGGGTTTTATTGAAAAATTCCGCGGTTGTGTGGTATCATGATTAACGCAATGTGCATCAGTGACAATAGCAAAAAGAAAAATTATTCAATAAAATATGTACAATTGCGTCTTTGAGTCCAATTATTTACTAAGGCCTTCCTAGTTTTTTTTACTAAACAGAAAATCAATTATGTGAGAATATGTGATGGGTCGAATTCAATCGTTATGCCAGGTGACAATTGGATCGATTCTCTTTGTACAATGAAGTAATTGTTACAATTATGTGAAAAAAAAAAAAATTATTAATTATCATGATTTTTAAATATTGCATATGGCCTGGTTTACCTAAGGATGAAGCTTCCTCTGAAATGAAGACTTATTCTGACGCTGATGTTATTAGAAAAACTATTTTTTATTGTTGCCCTTGTGTTTTCCGATGCAGACAATCTATTGACGTAGAAAGTAGTGACAAAGTTTCCATTATAACTGAGCTTCCAGTTCTTGTTACCACTCCTGTCATTTCTATAACGCCGAATAACACATGCACAGAATCCACGTAGGATCATCATTGATAAATGATCATTTTATAAATTAATCACATGCTATTTCAACTTCATTAATTAATCATTGTTTTTATTACAGAGACAAAATTAATACTGAAGAAGAAGAAGAAGAAGAGCAAGTGAATGAACAAAATCAACGTAACTCTGGACAATTCAATAATCAGATCAATGATTTAGAAGAACGAATATCGCCATTTATAGGTAAAAGCATTAAAATTTTTTTATGAAAATACTTTATGATAAACAAAGTACTCATTTGAAAGCTTTACTTTACTTTGCTTTTGTTTTAAAATTCATTTGGGAGCTTAATGAATTTTTTAACAGAAAATAATGGCTGCAAAGTAAAGGGTGAGGAGTTCATGATCGAAGTAGAGTGTATCTATAAAAGCAGAGCACGAGGTTCTTAACCTCTGGGTCCGGTAAATAGCATCATATATGTATTCACGTAAATAGTCGAGACAATCGTAGGCTTACGTGTCCTAGAAAATCAATAATTTACTGGTCAAGTCTCTAACGACCGAGTCGACGAACTCGAATTTCATTGGGCTGAAATGACAAAAAATTGCTTAAACCTAGGGATAATAGTTTTTTCAGAAGTTTTTAAGCATTCTATTTTCTTTTGTTATTAAATTCTTTGGCGAGACAGCCGTCGTGAAACGTAATAAAACAAGTTAGGAGAATGTAGTAAGGGGTTCGCGACAAAGCCCAAGGAGATTGATTCAATTTCTCCTTCGCTTCTGTTGGTAATTCGATTTCTCATGTAATTCAATTCCCTCTAACACTAAGGTCGCGATCGGGAATCGTATGACGTCTCAAGTGACTCCTCTAACGAGAGAGACAACGAACTGAGGGTTCAAGAGGTCAACGAAGAAAGCAGAAAAGATTCTTCGGCTGAAAAATCTTTTGATGTCATTACTAATAAATCCAATCCATCACGGAGTAATTCCATTGAGCAGGTATCTGAAGAAGATGATGAAATAAGTATCAATGAAAGTCATAAAAGCAAACTCTGATGATAATGATTCTAATTTGTAGATATCAGCGAATGTACTATCGAGTGCGACGAATTCAACTGATTTGGAAAAAGAAACGAGCTCTGAAGATGTTCCTTCAAGTAGAGAAATTGATAGTGATGATTCTCGGACTCATAATCCACCCTCAGGCTCTTCAGCTGCTTCTAATGAGAGCGGTTCGATCGATGAAGCTCTGAACAAAGTTGCAACTCCTCGACAAACTGGTGGTATTCAAGCAATTGCTTTTGATGATCGAGACGAACCGGATATATCTTTGGTAAATCACATAATAATCATCATCATAATCATAATTATAACTTTAAGCGAATATTAAAATATATGATGGGATTTGGTTAATGTTATCATTCTGATTATCATTAATATTTTAGGCTTTCGATCGAGACTATTCGACCGAGCTTAAGATCAATATTGAGTCGAGAGCTTCCATTAATGCAGAATCTGAGACTTTTTCCAACCCACCGGAATTCCTGGAAGACCAGGAAGAAGAATTCCAGGATGAAGAAAAAAATGAGGAATCTAACCACGAAGCTATGAATACTGTGTCGATAGTCGTTGCTGCTCATTCTCGACCTCATTCTCGAGCTGTGGCTGAGTATCACGAAGCCACCTTTCAGCCTCTCGACATCCGGCAGTCCCCTGAGGAAACTTCAGCCTCCTGTGCGATTATTCATGACCCAAATCCTCCTTCAGCAAGATCAAGTGACCACGAAGATATATCCTTTACGAGTGAAATTGTTTCTGAAGTATGTTGTCATCATCATTATGATTATCATCACAATTATTACTGTTGTTGTTAGTTGAGCTTTAATGATATTGGATTTTTCACAGATCCATCAGAATGACAAACAGTTTGGAGACACTGAAATTCATGTTGTAACAGTCCAACAAATATCTAGGGCTCCAAGCCGTGCAAGTAAACATGAAGCAGAAGTAGAAATTGCCGAAACTCATGTACGTTTTGTCAAATTTTTCGTAAAATTTAAGTGATATTATATTCTCCATTAACGTCAAGTCAAATTTCAGATTGAGGCTAATGGAATAGCAACACCAAAGAAACAGCCATCAAAATTGCCACGAAGTCGTGTAAAAGTAAAAACGGGATTCAATAAAATTACACCACTACAACCCAACTATGTCGAAAAAACATTAGGAAAATCGAAACCAATTTTATCTCAATGTTTTATCCAGCTTGAAAGCAATGACTGGTAAATATCTATTATTATGAAATAAGTTTTGTCATTCTCACGTCATTTTAAGCTCAATTAATGTTATTTTTTTTCTTTTAGGGAAGTGACAATGAAGGGACTGAAAACATTATCATCGATTGCTAGACAGCAACCTGAACAACTAGACACCTGTCCACCAAGTATAGTAGGTCGATTATTAGGTCGGCATATCAGAAACTTGCGTTCTCAGGTGGCTAGAACAGCTTGTATAGCTGCTGCTGACGTGTTTGAATCACAAGCACGTTCTGTAGAGCAGGTGATTGTTTTAACATGCAATGAAAATAAAACAAAAAAAAACGTAATTAAAATAATTCTTTATTCTAGGATCTTGATGATATTGCGAGTCCTTTGCTACATCGAACAGCAGACACCAACAGATTTCTTAGGGCTGATAGTAATATAGCACTTGACCGTATGATAGAACATCTTCCACCTCAGAGAACAATCATGGTTATCGTTAATCGCGGTGCCAGGTAATTAGTTTTGTTAACGTTCTACATACTATTACTCACGAATATTTTCCAATTTGCTAGTCATCAAAATGCCATTGTGAGGGCTGCTACTGCACGACTTCTGGACTCGATTGTTGATCGAATAGGACCTAATCAGGCTATGAGTCTTCCCCGTGATGTTAGAGAAAAATTATTTAATTCTGGAGCTAAACTTTTGATGGACGGAAACTTAGATGCTAGGTAATTCATTAATTACTCTGCAAGTTTAAATGAAAATTTAACATATTAATTAAATGGAATAATAATTTTTTTTTTCTTTAGAAATCATGCTAAAAAGATGTTTAAAAAATTATCAACTTGTGAAGGATTTAGAAAAGCACTCAAGGATTCTGTGCCTGAAACGACTCTTCGACATATTGATAAAACGCTTAAAACATTGTAAATTATTTAACTTATTTTGATCAATTTTTAAATTTATAATTATACCAAAGAACAAAAAGAACAACAAAAATTTTCTCATTATTTTCATTTTATTTATCTTTTTATTACCAAAGATGACCAGGTAACAAATAATTCTTTGAATGAATATTAGTTGACTGTGTATATAAATGAATGAGAAGACTTGAAATTATTTATTGTTTTAACTAATATTAATGATCTATTAAAAATAATTTATATTTATACATATGAGTAATTGATACTGCAAATAAATATACATATAAATACATATATGAATATATTTACATCAGCAATGTAATAATAAATAATATAAAAAATTATGTACTTTTATATCTGCTCATCTTTGTAACAAAGTTAGTAAGTAAAACTCTGTCTCGTTGTAAATAAATATTTATTATAAAATACCTGTACACAACAAGATAAAAAACTGTTCAAATTTATTATGGTTTCTTAACAATAACAGTACAATTTTAAAACTCCATTACGTAGATTCATTATCACAATTTTTTCCAGTATATGAAAATTTTTATAATATTTATTTTCAATACTAGCTTCTACATATTAAAAAATAAAAATATAAACAAATAATATCAATACATTTTTAAGCCTGAAGAACATCAGCTTGGGATCGAGGGATTTCATTTCCGAATTCCTCGACTGTTTCAACACTTCTTGCTGGTGTTGTTTCTTCTTGAGTAGATGATGCAGTTGTTCTGGTGTTTGTAGTTTCCTCAATTTCTTCACCACCACCAACATCAACGTTACCATCGTAACCTCCACTTGGAAGTGTTGTTTCGTTTTCAGGCTTGATATGAACTACTCGAACTCGGATAAAGGTTCCACTATTATCGTTGCTATCAGTGTATGTTGTTTCATTTACTGTTACGACATTGCCATCAACTATCTGAAGAAAAATAATTTCATGTTATTTTATTTCATTTATTTGCGTTTATTTTTTTTTTCAAGAAAAAAAAGGAAATCATTGCTTTGTTGGAGAATTTACTCGTTTGAATGCATGTCTTTCATTTACATTTACTCGACTAGTAGAACGAATATAACGCAAAGAGAATGGATCAGATTGCGAATGATTGGCGTGTACCAAGAGAACATTCCTTTATTATTAAAAACGGCAGATTATAACGCAAATAAAATAGAGATATAGTTGGAAAGAAAAAGGTGTATATTTGAATGAAACAAATAATTACCTTTGTTATTGATGTTGTATTGGCACCTTCTGGAATTTTACCACCAAATGGTTTCATATCATCAAAGCTTGGTACATCATTGAACAAATCAGTCATCATTTTCATGAGATCTGTAAAAGCAGAAAACAATGCTTATTTTTCAAATAGCATGGAAAATGTATTATAATAGTATTGATGATATCTAAAAAAGCTTGTTGCATTTTCAATAAAACAATTTTTTATACGTGAATAACTCTCAGTATTTCTATGATAAACGATGAGTTCCTTTCTTCTCTCCCTTTATTGCATTTTTTTTTCCTTTGAAATAGAGTCCTGCTGCTAATAGAGAAATAAAACTTAAAAAGCTTAAAAAGATGAAAAAAAAACATAAAGGCAATTACGCGACTTGTCGGCAGCAGAATTTTCATGGCTCGCTTAACCTTTTATATCAGCATTTGGTTTGAGAAAGAGATAGAAAATGGATTATTTTCAAAATTTTATCGGCTTTCAGAACAGAGCGTGAACATCATAGTCATAAACGAATCAACACATTACTTGATATTCTCCATTTTACTTTAGGATTTTTTTATTTCATTTCCTTTTTTACCTAATATACAATATAAAATCCCAACATTATGTTGATTTATTTAACGAATTGGTGATAACGAATCTTGAAATATGAATTAAAGAAAATGAGAATCTTCATGACAGACTGTATGTACTGACGAAATCATATATGCGCATTTTAAGGTGCTGAATAAATTTTACATGTAAGAATTTTATTATCTCTTCTGTATGAACTACATGTTAAGAAGATGAAAATATGTTATATTTATTATTATTTTTGTATTAATATTGATAATTATAATTATTTTATTCGTTTATGTTATTAATAAATTAATATAAATCTTTTGGAAATATTATAAATTATCAATTATATTCCAAGTTTACGTAATAATAATTTTATAGAAAATCTATCGATTAATATTTTATCATACTCTCAAAGTTTATTATTTGTTGCGAGTTTTAATTAAATACATTTAAATGGATATTTCCAGGTGAAAACTTGTGTATTTTGCCCTCAGCTACTTTCTTTTTTGTATTAAGCAATGTATTTATCATTGCTATTATTTTATTACAAATATTATTATTACTAACATTGGAATTAAAATTTTTTATTCTTTATTGATGCATGAAATTTATTGTTTTATGAACATATATATATATATGCGATGTATTATTTTAATTTTTTTTTATTTCAAGTTCAATGTAATATTGATAACTAAACATTTATTACTATCAGGCATGAATAAATATTAATATAAAGTTTAATATTTTCAATCTACCTTTCTAAGTGATATTTTTATTTTTAATATCGATAACGTTTGAAATGAATTCATCTAAAAATGCAGAAATAAATAAGATTTGAATATTTAATAATTTATTTGAACAAATGAATAAATTAATATCATGAAGAACTATTTTATTTATTATCGATCAACTTGAGTAGAGAATTCAATATCTTAAGTTATTCATATTTCCATAAAATTAATTGCATCGTATAAAAAATAGTATCATAAATATTAAAAAGAAGCTTTTAATAACATTTCTCAAAGATATTCTGATTAGAATTTTTTCTTATCAAAAGAACCATCTCCGTTCCATCACTTATCGATGTCATAAATTCGCTGAAATCTCTTGTACAATTTACTCCAATAAAATAAAAATAAATTCAATTGAGTTTATTCGAATAATGTAATTCAATATATTTTTTTCTCTCTCTCTCTCTCTCTCTCTCTCTCTCTTTGGTATGCACAAAATGGTTAATATAAATAATAAAAAATAATTTTAAATAATGGTGAAAGGGGGAAAGAGAGAGAGAGGGATGTTGTTTTTTTTTTTTAGAAGAAAAATTTCCAAGATTCCACGGGTTAGAAATCATGATGATTATTGTACTGTCGATGTGGTTAGGATAAATGCGCGATTGCATCTGACGCGTGGTAAAATTGACGAGCCATGCGACGATAAAATCCGGTCAGAGGTATACATATGCAACAATAAACATTAACGTTGACTCATCTCATCCACCCTGTGCTTTCATACGTGAACTTCCGCCTGCTGACGTCAGCTCTATCATTTTTTTCTCTTTTTACCTATTGCAAATCATTCGTAACGTGTATTTTATATGATCAAAGAAAAACATCGAAATATTGTATACCAACAGGAAATGATTTTTTTTCCTTTTAAATTGAAAATGTCACCATCTAATACACGCAATGTAAGTTGACATTACATTCACCTTTTTATTGCATCATAAATTAATACTCTTTTCGCGATAATTTCATGATTAAAGATAATTATTCAATAATTATCAACCTTAAAGCAGTAGTGTGGTTGCTGTACATATTTAAGTTCACTTTAACTTCATTGTTTGCTTACGGCCTTAAGTATAATTATAAATATGCTATGCAGTTACGATGTTTGTTATCAAATTTAGAATACTCTAGTACTTAAGGATTTTTAATATATTTCAATTTACATCAATCAGACAGTTTTTGTTTTATTTCATTATTTATCGTAAATTCAATTATTTATTTTTCATTTCTTTATTATTAATATTTACTTAAAACACTTACATAGTTAATTAAGTCACTAAAATCTTAATCAAACTCTATTACCATGATAGCAACTGAAGAATAAATTAAATATATGAAACATTTATCATTGACCTGGACTAAAAATATTTCATGTATTTTAACATAAATTGATGAAATAGACAAAAATGGTGTCTTATATTTTAGAAGATAATAACATTTTAATTTTTAATATTTACTGATATTTTTTAACGTTTAAAAATATTTTGCACCACATTATTAACTGTTGAACATAATATGTGACTTCTGACTTTGAACCCTCATAATTCATGACGAAATGATTGTACAACAGCTAGTTAGATATTATTAGAAAGTTGATAGTGACTGTTCCAAGTGGTTTATGATAATAAAAAAAAAATGATTGTAAAACAATATTCACTTCACAACAAGATTAAAAGTTACTTTTATCTATTTGTTTTTTTTTTTAAATGAGATCAGATGTAAGAATATGTGTTTACTTTGCTGTTTTAATGATTCATAATCTATTCCTATAGATATAACAACCCAAAAGAAATCGACTGCGAGAAACTTTTTCAAGATTCCCTTCTTTTTCTGGAATATCACGAAATTTAAGAGACATATCTGCTATTCGACAAGACTCTCTTTCCATTCGTATATTACCTGAAGATGCATATCATATCTAAGGTAGAAATATCTCTGAGATAAAAAAAACTTTGTCAATTCAAGAAGTGCTTTTCTGAATCTTATAAATAGGAAGTAATCTAAGAGGTTAAATAAACAGAATACGACACAATAAATCATCTTTCAAAAAATCCTAAACAAGTCCACTATCAAAATACTGAAATAAATTAAATTTATTCGAATATCTCAAACAAACTTGAATGAATAAATGGAAAAAGAGATCAATAATCTCGTGAAATTAAATCTATTGAAAATAAATAAATAAATAAAATCAAATTGAAATCAATAAATGGTATTTATAATTATTAATTTTTGTCAAAATAAAATATCAATCCGATTACTTCAGAAATTTCATATCAATTATTAATAGTATCAATTTTTAATAAAATCACCAATTCTATTCAATTCTCTACTATTTATTGAGATGGTTACAAAACATTTTTTTTCTATCTTGATAAAACAAGTAACATTGGTTTTTATCAAACCACACTCGAAATATGAATCTACAATTTAATAAAAAAAAAATTCAGTTTCATAATATACATAATAGCTGATATTTTTTTGTTTTCAAATATATAAATCTGCAATAGACAAATGCAATTTATTTTGTAAACAAAAAAAAAAAGAGCTTCTTAATAATTTTTAATAGTCCAGTCGAATGAGGGAAATGGGATCATTTTGGTTTGCGATGGCCAAACTAATGATTTATAGATCACTAGATCGGAAATTTCACGAAGAATACGATGGTGTAGGTAAAAAATGTTTGGCACGAATAGGGAGGGGGAGTAAATTGCGAACCCCTCCTCCCCCCAATCGCGAATTTCTCGATTACTAACGTAGATATAAAAAAAAGTTCTAAATAAAAGTTGTTCAGAATGTAATTTTGATAAAAAAAATACTGAACACTTTTTTTCATATCTATGATAGATAAAAAGTTATTCGCTCCTGAAGCCTCACTATTGACAGAAGCTTCTGTCGAGACTAAGAAAATTAATAAAAAATAATTAACGCTACAAATATCACTTTGTGGCGATTTTTTTTCGAAACATGAGATATAAAGTATCGAAGAGAAATGATTACAATTGAATATTAATAACTTATCTCATAAATATATAGCTCAAATGCACATACCCCTGAGTGAGTAAATATTTATTTCAATGTCGACACAAACGTTCGAAGTCATGAACATTTTTATCAGATACAAAACTAACGACATAATATATAATACAAAAAATCTTATTTATGTTATCCATTTAATTTATATAACAAGCCTATAATTTTTTAATTAACTCTTCTAGTGTATCACGTTAAAATAATTCGCAATATTTAACTCAACAATAAATTCAAAGATACTTTATCAAGTGTAAAAATGTTTTTTAGTGAGAAAAAAGATGTCATCGCTTTGAAGAGATGGAAAATATTGGAGAAGATATAAATGAATTTTCCACATTATTGAACAGTAGGAAACAAAGTTGAAACTTGCATATTTATAAGAATCCTGCAAGTCCTGGGGATGGTTTGGTTTATCGATCATCATATGTATATATGCATGTGTCTATGCAGAGAAACGTGGCATATACATAAAATATATGCTCGTATATATTTACAATTTTTGTATCACGCCGGACGTATGATTCTATGAGATATGATCACTCACGATCGACAGTGAATGAGGAGAGCGTGAGGTATTGCGGACTTATCATGCATTTTTGCGTGCATCAGAGTTGGAAGAATATTTTAGATTGGAAGAGAAAACACTGGAAAATCCACTATAATGTTTGTGCTGCCCTCTTAAACACGTGTACATGCGTGTACAATAGTTGGTGTCCATGTACACTAGCCACTTCCGAAGGCTTTAAACACGCGTTTCGGTTTTACATATGTACATTGTATGTACTACAGATTGGAATCGAGCCAAAATGCCTAGTGAACGGCTCTTCAAGTTTATGTTTAATTTACTCATTAATTTCCCCAAAGTAGGTCTATCTGCATTAATATTTTATTTGCCCTTGTTAAATATAAATTCGACTAATCCACCTGTTCTGAATTTTTAAATGCTGGTGTATCAAGCTAAATTCATTTCACACTTACAATGTGATTATCAACCACACGTAAATGCTAATACCTCTAGTGTTTGGCTGAATACTTCCTACACCTACACTTCTATTCCATATTATTTTATACTGAGAGTATTTTTCGATGCAATTAAAGGACTAGTCTTTAGTGATTATCAATTTTATTGATCACATATCACTGTAAAGCAGAAGTGTGTTAAAACAACACACCTTGACGGTATTCAATGTTAAATTGCTATACACAAACTGTAGAGTCTTGTTATCATTTTTAACACACTCTAAGGTGTGTTAAGATCTATAGTTTGTTTATGGGGTTCAACATTGAACACGTGTAGATATCTTTTCTATAACACACTTTGTGTTTACAGTGTTTTTCATATCGACAAATACATAGTTTTTTACTTTTAATATCACTGCAAATCCAAGTGTGTTATTCTTGTAGACACTTTTAACACGTTAAGCCTCTTTAAAGTTAAATTTCATAAATAAACTATAGATTTTAAACACATCATGAATAGTATGTTATAGGATCTTTTACAGTGAATACACTTGATGCGCGTTATTTTAACACGTTTATGAAATCTTGGATTTACATTACACTTCCAATAAATGATTTTTAGAGTGTGTTAAAATAACTCATATGAAGTGTGTTCAGATATTTAATTTTTATAAACAAATAATATCATTAAAGACACCTTCAAGTGTATAAAAAATACAATAGTTTGTATATAAAGTTTTATAGTTTTATTAAACACACTTAATGTGAATTATTTTGATACTTTCTAAGAATGAATCAGTGCAAATTACTGTGAAATAGTTAATATTTACTGATTAGCAGTTATCAAACAGCCATCATTGTTTAAATTAGTGCTATTATTATCAGAACAAGTGAATATTCATTGACTCATTTTTATTTATAAATAGAAATGTTATTTTTTTATATCAAATTGGAACTTTGTCACTTTGATTATTCATTTTTCAACATTATTTGAATAATAAATGTGGTGTGATAGATTAGATAACTGATGTTTTTTCAAACTTACCCCTTAAACTACCGAATCGTGGACTAAAATCGAATCGAATTGGACGCCAATTGAAACTGAAGGGGAATAAGCCAAAGGTATCACGATCATTATCAAAATTTTTCGGTTCTGGATAAATTAGCTCGACTTGGTGGGTCCTTGGTCTACCATCTCCCTCATCTTCAACGTTTTCTCGTGGAAGACCTGAAATAAATCAAAATTGTTTAGCTTTTTTTTTTATTAAACCAACTGGATTTTATATTGAGATTAGAGATAGTAAGTTTGTAATTGGAATGAGGTAAAATTGTTTAAATACTTGAAATTTATCAGAAAAAATTAATGTAAAACTTATTTTAGGTCGATAGAATTTATAATTGTTGGAATAACTACATATAAAAATGTTCAAGTTATTTTTAATTTTGATTGAATCTTGATTGTGAATTATTAGATAGATTATTTCAAACTTTACATAATTATCGAAAATATTAATAATAATTTGAAATTTAATATATTTTCAATTGAAACTTCATTGAGTTTAAATAGTTAAACAAAAAATGACATAACACTCAATACTTTTCACTTATTTGACATCAATAAATGCTAAACCAAATCCAAAAGTGAATAATTGAAATTTAGAAATAATTTTTAAAAACCAATTCCACGGCTAAAGAACTGAATAATTCAACTGCCATTTATTTGCAAGCTCTCTAAATCATTGGAAAGAAAAGAGTAACTTTCATTTGCAAGGTCCCAATTTTTGTAACTATTCCACATGATTAAGCAAACCATAAAGATGATAAAAAAGAATAAAAAGGAAACACAATCGAAATAATAGAGCCTTTAGAATATGCCATGCATATTCACGAAAAATTATAGTCTGACAAATGACTCGGAACAATGATTACTAGATTATTCGAGGATGTGGAAGAAATTTTTTTGCTATTTATCTCTCTGGTAAAACGGCTAGTTTTAGATGTCACTCTCATGAGAATTGTGTCCCTCTGTTATTCTCCAAAAGTCCCAAACTCGTCTCGAGGGATACTCGTTCTCGAGAATTCTCAAGTGCTCGGAAAATATTCACGATCTTGAGAAACTAAAGTTTCGCATCAACTTTTGAAGAATATAAAAGTAGGAACAACAAGGATTAATGAAAAATTGATAAAATAATATTATTAAAAATATTATGGCTCTAACGAAGCGAGAGAAAATGAAAATGGTTAAAGAGTTAAAGTCGACATGAAAATATTTCTAAGTGGATAAAAAAAATTGTTAAATAAACAATTCATAGGAAATATAAATAAAAAAGTGGTGATTAAATAGTCTAAAATAACCATTTAATATCATTATCAGAATAAAATGAATATAAATAATAATTTATTATTTTTAACAATTATTTGATTGTTGAATAAATATTTTTAATATTAACTGTTATTTCAATTATAGAATACAATAGAATCAACTGTATTTCCGTATCCATCATTTTCTCTATTAAAAAAAAAAAAAAAAAGTCAAGCATGTTTGTACTAATTGTTTTCTCTATTTTTTTTTTTTTATTTTATTCAAATAAAAAAATTCATGCATTGTAGAATTAATACTACCTTTCTGTTCTCGTGCTACAAAATGTTGTGTAAAATGTATTGTGCTATATATCCTGAGAAATAGAAAGGTTATCAATCCCACAATAAACGATATTTTAGTAAAATTTCCATTTATCGAAATATGTTATGTATTTATAACATAGTACATTCGATAAAAAAAAAAATTCGATTCATGTTTTTAAAATAAAATGTATTTGAAAATGAATAAACAATTTAATATTTTTTACGAATGAAAATAAATGGGATGTTTTGATAAATAAAAAAGACAAATGATAATGTTTAATTTTTAACAGGAACTTGGGATGTTTGATATTATTATATAATAGATAAAATATATATAAATAGAAAATATATTTAAGAGGGTTGCTACCGGGTGTGGATCTTTTAGATCTCTCCAACGGCACTCCTGGCAATTATCCAATTTGCTAGGTTTCTCGTCAATTTTCATTGGTGCATGCACGTAGAAAGGCAATTGAAATCAATTTGTCCCAATCACAAATGGCTATTACACGAGATAAAGAGCCAGTGAATTGCGTTCAATAAAAATTACAATTTAAAATATATTTAAAATAGAAGAATTTATTTTTCATCACGTCAACTATTTGTTTATTTATTTTTTCATTTACTTCACTGGTGGCAATTTTTTTTCTCTCTCTCTCTCTCTTTCTCTCTAAAGAGGAAAAATTCTTTAATTAAAAAATTGTCCAAGTAATTGTCAATAACACATTTTATAAATCGAAATAAATCCAATCTCAACAATTAAAAAAGCTATTGAAACAAATTTGAAATTATTTTATTAAAACCTTCGAAAAATAATTTCAATATTTTCTTTTCAACTTCTATCAAGTTATTAAAAAGACAAAGACAGGGTATATTGATGAAAGAGAGTACGAGGAATAAAATAAACCTAAAATGAACTTTCTATAGTTCATTATGAATTTTTTATTAATTTTTAAACTTCTGACTTGACACAATAAGCGATCGACTTGAAACAACAGGCTTTCATGAAGTTTCAACATTGATCAAAAATTCATATCAAGTCCTAAAAGATCCATCTTAGGTTCATGCTATTCTACCAACTCTACTCTACTTATCCACTCAAAAATCTTGTAACATTCCATGAGAGTTTTTATAAATAATCATCTGATATCTTCATTGACATCAAAAGTTGTTGGTAATTCTCAACATTCCTTTAGATCCAAATAAAAGTAGATGACCAACAAATACTCAACTTACTCTGCACAATTTTTCCTTTCAAATAAATCAAAATTCTGACTACAGAATTATACAACATGAGATCCAATTCCAAATCTAATGATCCTCAACAACTATCTTCCAAGATCCAAGTCTTAAAAAGCTTAATTGGTGGTAAAAATAATTTTTCCACAACGACGTAATGACTTTCTTGGTGTAATTAGAATAATAAATAGTTATCTTCATGTCAGACACAATGAGCAATATTTTATATTTGACTTATTGTTCATAGTTTCTTGAGTTAATTAATTACACTCTCTGATTTGCGGTAGGAAGTTGTGGTTAACCTTCCTTTGGTGTCCAAGGTAATTTGAATAATTAGGTCAGAGAATTGGTGAGTCTATTCAAATTTAGTTGTACGTTATAACATGTTTGGATCAAATGTTGATACCTGAATTCATCTATTTATTGGATTGAACTCGTTGATTGTTACTATTACCATTACGATTATTATCATTATCTTATTCGGTCCAAGTCCAATACGAACATCACTTTAATAATAAGATTACGTACTATTCTATCCAGGAGAATAATCCTAGATGAATAATGAACTTTATCTCTCAATTGAAAGTTTAATCGAGGAAAGGAATTAAGAGTTAATAAATATCAAGTGTTCTGTTAGAGAGGATGAATAAAAAACAAAAAAAGTGTATTGTAGTTCATAATTGTTAATTGTGTAACACGGTAAAATGAACTTCATGAATTCTCTCCTCTGTTGCGTTGCAATATTGTCGATTCAGCGTCTGCACCATACCACACTCACCGGATGTTCTTGCATTATTAATTTCTCAGCGATTTGCAAGAGATCACTACACATATGTACATACGTTTTCCTAGCCACGTTTTGGTAGTTTTTTATTCATCTGTCTATATAAAATGCGAAATTTGTGGCCTCTAGACTCACAGTCGTTAAAGTAATCGAAAAAATTCAGAAAGACTTTCATCAGACTGATTCCTATGGAATATTCATTGTTTCAATGATTTTATTAAATGCTGGAATTGATTGGGATTTAATACAAACAAAAAAAAAAATATTTTATCTCTTTATTTAAATGATTTTTTGGGTTTTTATAACTTGATAAAAAAAAATCTTTTGAGAAGTACGGTTATCAAAGTTAATCTATAAATTTTATTATTTAAAATAATTTTTAATCAAGTTAAAAACACACTAGTGGTTTTAAAATTAGTTTAAGGTTGATTTGAAAGATTTAAGAAGCTCTAATGTGATAGGTGAAAAGATAAAATTCTTGATTTTTGATATTTCAACTTAGATCACTTTATTAAAAAGTCTTATCCAACATAATAAGATTTCTGAAATAGTTATTTATAACTCTCAATTTGATTTAAAATATATTAATCAATTTATTTGACGTTTACATGAATATCTTTTTCCACAACTTTCTTGTCAAAATATAAAAGTAATGTAAAGTTGTCAGAGTTTTTTCAGAATTTGGAATGAAATTTTCAGGATATTATAAATATTTTTTTTTCTCCTTTTAAAATTTTTGAAATACACTCATATATATATATATATATATATATCTTTAACTAGAATATAATTTTAAAAAATCTGTCAACTTCACTGCCCTTGGATTGACAGTTTATTATGTGTCACTTTCATGACTTAAAAAAACTCAACTGAAAAATAATTTCTAACTTATTTTCACATGAATGTGATTCTTTAGAGATAAAATTGTCATTTTTTTACTAAAAGATTTGCATTAAAGAAATTTTTTTTTTAGATCTATATTTTACTTTAACCGCATTATTAACTGCCTTAATAAATAATTAACATCTTTTTTTATATAAATTTACATTATTTTTATCTTTAAGAAGAATGATTCAATTAAATTATCCTTATCATTCATATTCAGAGCAGTAAAAAAACTTTCATACACTTTAAACACGTAATTATATTGATTTGAATTATTTTCACCTTTGTTTTTGCTGTGCAAGTTCAAGACGAGAAACACCTTTATGATTCAGTAGCCTTCATTTCAAGTTAAATATAATCGTTGCAATATAATTAATATTATTTTCATTTCTAGAAGGATACAATTAACGTATTCAATTATTCAAATAATTACAATCTCTTTACTTGAATCTTTTTAATGAGTACAATTAAAAGTATCAGGTAGATTTTTTTACAAAAAAAAAATAACACCGATCAATTATCTGTTTTACTAACTAATACATCATATATCCATAGGGGAAAATTTTTCCCAATTAATAATAATTGTTTTAATTTTATATCCCTACAGTGCTTGTTAAGCGACAATACAAATAGTATCATAAAGATATTTTAAACGAAAAAAATTATTTTTTTTTGTTTATTCTTTTAATCTTGGATAT